GTTCTCTCCGAAGCGAGCCCAGGCCTTTAGGGGGACGGTGATGGTGTTCCTGTAGGGCTGGCGGACCTCGCTGATCTTCAGGAACACGCCGTAGCGGTTGGAGCCCACGTCGAAGTAGAAGCGCTTGTTGTCCACCCTGAAGGACGCGGCCTCGGGCAGCTCGGGACTCTCGGCGCGGCTCCGGGGTCCGGGGCGGCCGTGCTCGTCCACCTCCTCGTCCCCGTAGTCCTCGATGAGCTGGGACAGGGCGTCCCTGAACTCGATGAGGCCCTGGGCGGGCAGCACGATGGTCTGCTCGATGCCCTGGCCGTAGTAGCCCATGGAGCCCTGGCCCCTGCTGACGGTCTGCCGGATGCGGAGGAAGCGCCCCCTCTGGTTCTCCTTCAGGTCCAGGAAGTACTTCCTGTTGTCCCTCTCGATCAGCTCGCTCTTCAGGACCCGGTGGGCGTGGTCATCGGAGCCCACCGACCCGCTGGGTGACGCGTGCTGCTCCCGCGCGTTTCTGCGCGCGTCATGCACGCGGCCCTGGCCGTCCTCTGCGGGCTGAGCGGCCTGGCTGCCCCGCAGCCCGATGCGGGCGTAGTAGTCGATGAAGTCCCCCAGGCAGTAGCGCAGCGCCGGGGCCATGGCCATGGACAGGGTCAGCTTGCTCTTCCGGATGTTATCGTGGCGCCCCCTCCCGATCCACACCTCGGCGATCTTCAGGAAGCGGCCGCGCACGCTCTGCTTCACGTCCAGGTAGAAGCGCTTCTTCTGGATGTCCACGCGCTTGGAGGCCAGTTCCTGGATGTCTCCGCCCTGCTGCGGGGCTGCAGCCGGGGCGAACTGCTGCGCATACGGCGCTCTGGGCAGAGAGTCGGCGGCGATCTTCGCCCTGCTTCTCTCCCCCCCCCTGCAGCAGCCATCGGCCATCATCATCATCATCATCATCTAGATCCCGGCAGCCTGAGCAGGAAGAAGCGATCCCTCCATTCCCAACATGCAGAGCTCCGCTCCGCTCTCCATCAGCCGGTCCGGGAGGCTGGAAGAAGCTGCGATCCGGGAATGAACCCGATGAACCCGGTCCTCCCCCCCTCCCGTCCTGAGAAGCCCTCCGTTAAAGAGACGCGACGTCAGCAGAGATGCGCGCTCACTGCGGCGCGCGGAGCTGCATCATCTGCAGACCTCCTCCTCCTCCTCCTCCTCCAAACAGCTGCTGCTCACGTTTAAAACATCTGCTTTATCCCCCCCCAAAATAAATATATATTCAAGCTTTAATGCTGCTGTAAAGATGCACTAAAGGCATGGGCGGTTCCAGACAGGGACCAACGGGGGCCAGTGTAGTAGATGGCTCCTATACTCAAGACATAACACTAAAAAAAAAAATAATAATAATATATATATATATATATATATATATATATATATATATATATATATATATATATATATATATATTATTTTTTAATTTTTTTTCTGACAGTAGACTGACAAGAAAGGGTATGAGACATGGGGGAGAGACCACAGGTCGGATCTGATGCAGTAAAGGCTGATTTATACTTGGACACCAGGTCGTCTGCCTGTTTGTCGCAGTGTACGCAGATATGCCCCGCCCCCTCCAGCAGATTCTGCTGCACCTCTCCAAAATTATAGGTGACCGCAGAGAAGAGGCCTCTGATTGGTCAAATCTTCATCCGCTCTACTCTGTGCGTATTTCCTGTTTGGTTCCTTACCGGCTTTTTGTGTTTGTCTGACCGCCATTGTGGAAAACGACTGGTGAAGATGGAGCAGCTAGCAGAGCGAGGTGAGAACGCTGGGACCCTTTTCCACCTGGATCTCCGCTCTTTTTGGCCCTCATGTCCCTCCGTTGTCGCACAAACTTGCTCCCACTTCCTCACCGCCGCATTTAGACCCACAGCTAGTTCCTGATTGGCCCTCTAGCGTTGTGGCGTGGAATAACATAGCGCAGACCACGGTTCAATATATCGGGAGAAATCAAAAATATCTGCGACAGGCTGCTGGGGCAGGATAAGCAAGGTCGTGCGCGTTAATGGCTGCGCCACCTGCGCGCCCATACTCAAAGAAGTTCTAGTGATGGTCTGCTCTGGAACAGACATGGTTACTGATTGGTCCTTTGGATTAATTTCAGGTTTTTTCTTTACAAATTCTGTTTTACTATTTATTTCCAAACAATAAGATGATAATAAGACTTCAGTGGTACTGACATAGGATCCCAGTTTTCATTTGAATTTATCAGTTTTTCTTGAGTTCCAATTCAGATTTAATGGAAGACGGTCTTTTTAACTTACTTACTTTTCTGGGCCCCCATGAAAACACGCTGCCCCCCTGCTGGGCCCCCCCCCCTGGCCCCCTGGAACATTTGGTCTAGAACCGCCACTGACTAAAGGAGACCATTTAGATTTTTTATGTCATTTTTACTGTAAAATTTCTACAAAGGAAACCATAAAGCAAAGCTGTATCTATGAACACAGGAATAGAAAATAGGTTTAGAACTGTGAAAATATATAACTATTAGGTTTCACTAAAACTTTATTAAAGAACAGATTATTTTTATGCCCTGAGAGCTTATTCCGTAAAAGTTTAAAAAACAATCCACTGGACTTTGTTCGCGACGTTTTAAGACGTTTCTCTTCCATCCAGGAAGCTTCTTTAATTCAAAATGACATTTTGAATTAAAGAAGCTTGAGAGCTTATTGTTCATTCATCTGTAAGTCTAATAATAAAACCTGTATTGTTGGTGTGGCAGCATCACGCCGCTCATGAGAATCATCCAGATTTATTGACGTCTAAATGGTATAAAATAATATATTGATGGTATATTTTAATGGTATAAAAATCTATTCATATATTTAATACATTCATGGTTTGTTTTGCTGTTTCCTGCTGAAAAATGAGGGAAAACATTAAGATCATTTATTTCACTGCTGGATTTTCTTTTTAAATTGGAAAAATATAAAAATTGTTGTTGGAGCTTGGCCTGTTTTCCAGTGTAGTCCTGTTTCTCTGACTGTGACTAACTGGATGTGCTCTCTTCATCCTCTGACATGGGAGCTGGCTCGGAGCTCGTCTGCCTGGCTGTGTGTTTCCTGGACGGGGCCGCCTGTGGAGCTGGTTGACAGTTGCCTTTTGTATCTATGCTTCTTTTTCTATGTCTGCTTCTGTCTCCTTGAACCCCAGTGGGCCTCAGCAGATGGCCGCTCACACTGAGCCTGGTTCTGCTGGAGGTTTCTTCCTGTTCAAAGGGAGTTTTTCCTCTCCACTGTCGCTACAAGCATGCTTAGTGTGAGGGATTGCTGAAGAGTCAATGAGTCGATGCAATCAGCTGGTTTTCCTTAGATAGAAAACTTTGAATCAATCTGACTGGATGATCTGGTGAACTGGAAAGTGACCTGAGATGACATGATGTGAATTGGAGCTATAGAAATAAACTGAATAGAATTGACTTAGCAGGGATAAAGGACAGGCTGCAGCTCCACAGGAAACACTAATGAGATTCAGGAGGAAGCTGCATCACGTGCCGGAGAATCCTCCACCAAGAGGCCTAACTTTTATTAACCCTTTCATGCACACTGATCATTAGAGTATACAGCTCTTCTATTTATATATGCCTTTTTTAGGCACTTATGCAAAGAATAACCTCCCATTAAACAAACGGCTGGACCAACATTTCACCAGAAAGGTGACTCAGCAGATTCTGGGGTGACCTTTATGTGAGGAGGGGTTGGGACCTCATGGAGCGCAGCGTTAGGCCTCTGAAGGAAACTTTATTGATGGACAGAACGGGACGACGTTAACAGGAACAACAGGGATACATTCATGGATTTATACCGACGGGCTGAAGCCCAGAACACACCTGGTGACATCACTGCAAACACCATCAGAAAAAAAGCATTTATTAAAGTAGCTGCATTTAGCTTTGATATGAGCAGGTAAATAAGATGATCTGCCAATGGAATGAGTATTTTAACTCTTATAGGGCCTCAGTGAAATACTTTGAAAAATCCACATTTCAAGTCAAGTGTTAATGAAATCCTTAATACCTTTGAAACATTAAAAATATGGATATTTTGATGATTACAATTAATGTCAATGTAATAACAAGAAATGCTAACTTACCAACATATATTAAGAAAAATAACAAAAGTGCTTCTAGAAGAAATTCATGAAAACACTGAGGTCTAGAAACACATTTCTAGACCTCAGTGAGGGAGCACTGGGGTCTGCAAGTGATCAAAAACTGTAACACACCCTATAAAGGGTTAAAAAAAGATAATTAGATAATATTCTTTTCTTATTCTAAATGATCTTGTTCTGTCTGACTTTCCTCCTCAAATGAAGAACAGAAAGATGGACTCATTTAGATGAACATTTCTTGCAGTTCGGAGCTGAAAGCAGAGACCAGGAGGGTTTGAGCTAAATGTGACATCAATGTGCAAATGGCGTCTTCATTCAGAAGCATGGTGCGGGTCGGAGCTGCCCGACCCGGTTGGCGCTGTGCGGTCCGGAAGTGGAAATGCTGAAGGAGGAGGACCGAGCAGCGATGGCCGCCGCGGCTCTTCCTGCTACGGTTTCTCACGTTCTTCTGCGTCTGTAGGCAAGCCAAGATCTGCCGTCTCCACCTGACTGCGGTGAAGCAGGAGGCGCAGCAGGAGGCGCAGCAGGAGGCGCAGCAGGAGGCGCAGCAGGAGGCGCAGCAGGAGGCGCAGCATGGCCCCTAGCCGGCCTGCAGCAGCTCAACAGTTCAGTCTGCTCTCAGGGTGACTTGGTTACACAGCGGTGAGGAAAAAAAACACATGCAGGTCCCCCCCATCAGTCTGGGACAACGCGGCCCCCCCCCCATCAGTCTGGGACAACGCGGCCCCCCCCCCATCAGTCTGGGACAACGCGGCCCCCCCCCCCATCAGTCTGGGACAACGCGGCCCCCCCCCCATCAGTCTGGGACAACGCGGCCCCCCCCCCCATCAGTCTGGGACAACGCGGCCCCCCCCCCCATCAGTCTGGGACAATGAAACCAGCCCTGTTGGTTCCTACTGAGGTCTGTAACCGGCCAGCTGAGGCATGTAGCTGGACAGGGGCGCCCCCGTGTCATCCTGCAGGCTGTCTGACTCGGGGGTCTGCTCGGCGTCCTCTTTGAGGGGACAGAAGGGCTGCTGCCCCCCCCCCAGCGGTCTAAAGTCGTCCGGGTTCGGAGGAAAGACCGTCTCTCTGGGCGAGCGCTGCAGCAGCACGTCCGGGTGTTCCTCCGAGTCCAGCAGCGGCTGCGTGGACTCGGAGCGGGAAAAGATGGAGTGCTGCGACTGGGAGCCGGGGGTCTGGCCCTTGTAACCGCTGGACGCCACCACAGAGGAGTACTGGACGGTGCTGGCCGTGGAGTCGGCGAGGTCGGGGCCCTCGTCGCTGTCGGAAACGCTCTGGCGAGGCGAGGACATGCAGGAGGAGCCGCCGATCCCGCTGCTGTGCTCCTCGGACAGGTACTTGTCCTTCTTCAGGGACAGACTGGTCTTGTCGTCTTCGAAACCGAGCTTCACCTCACAGACGCCGACATCGAGCACGGAGACGCCGGTGACGCAGTTCTCCTTCGGCGTCTCGGCCTGCAGGCAGAAATATTCTATTGATCAGAAAGCCTAAAGCCCCGCCCACACCGCTCCGTCCCACTTTATAACCTCCCATCCCATTTCTGCTCCTCGGCTCTGAGCTCTACACACTTTCTAACCATTTCCCACATTTGATTATGAAAAGTTATTAAAAAATAAATAAAAACCAGTGACTCATTCACTTAACAAGCAGCATCTAGAACCAGAACAGATAGAGAATGTTTATCTATCAAAAAAAATAAAGAGATCTACGTCTAAAGAAAAGAAAAAGGGAGCAAGAAACGGCGTGGCCTGCTCTGTCTGACCCTCCTTAGTTTGGTTTCTGTGGGTGTCGTCAGAAAATTTAGATTTCTCTTATTTCACATATTGATTTATCCTGTTTACTCACTATAAAAGTTTTCACTCAGTCAGTTTCACCTGCAAGGCCACATGATGCCTGATGGAGGGTGTTTATAGACAGACTTCTTCCTTAACAAGCCAGATTCTTTCTCAGGTTTATTATAACATGTTACTGTTTAACCAAAGTGTAATTTGCTTTGACTCTGACTACTTTCCATTGTTGTCAGTAAGGAGGAACAAACGCTGCTGGATCAGAACAGGGCTGATTACCGAGCAATAAGGACCGTATGATGAACTAATCTGTCTTTGAAAAGATAAAAATAAAGGTCCGACTGAGTGAAAACTATGGATCTACATTTATTTAACTGGAATGAACAGATGAAGATCACTAATTTATCAGTTTTCTGTCCTCCTGAACTCCTATCTTGGTGAAAGTTTTCTATTTTAATGTTTCATTCATTGTTTTATTCCAGTCTGTCCTGCTTATTTTATACGTGACTCAGATGAACAGATTTCAGTTTGGATTTTCCTCCAAAGCGGGTGAGTTTTACTTTGTTACCGCATCTCTATTCCTGTCAGACCCAGGAAATTGCTGCATAGCAGGACTAAAATAGAACTGGACTGTCAATTGGAGCTACGCTGCCCCCTGCTGGAAATCATCCCCACTGACTTTCAATGAGCGTTAAATGCCACCACCTCTGAGGCACGATTTTCTGTCAGACTGGAGGTAAAACAGGATTTGTTGTGTTTTTGGCTTAAAGGAAAAGTCGCTCATATTCAGAATCCAAACTTCTGAAAGTTCTTTAAATGTGAAATGATTCCATCCTGTTCAATAAATGATCAGTGTTTTTAATTCAGAGTAATTTTCATGTGAATGTGCTTTACTGGAGGCATCCATGTTTGTCAAAGAACACTACTGCCACCTACTGGTTAGTGACGTCACGGTGCGCCATCGCTTCCAGACTCAGTGATCGTGATGAAAATTACTTTAATTTTTTTACCGATTAGTGCCAAGTTCATTAAATAACTAGGAACGTATTATCTTTGGGTATAAATATTGATCATTCCTTGCTGACCAGACTTTTCCCTTAGAGGTCCAAAGTATCAGCATGGACAAACACAGGAGAGGAGGCGGATGTGGACGAGCCTGTGGACGGTTACCTGCAAAGGGTAACCAGGGGACCAGTTTCCAATGGTGCTCTCTCCGGGGTTCGGAATCTGAGGCCAGAAGTTCTCCTTTATTCTGAGGAAAAGGAAACAGCTGCTGTTATGAAGCTGAGGGGCTGCAGGTGAATCGCTCACCCCCCCCAAAGAGAAAAACGTACACATCTTTTTTATAGATGCAGAGCAGGATGACCATGAGAACGAGGAAGAGGAAACACAGGCTGACTCCCACCACGATGCCCTCCACCATTCCTGGAGCTGAGAGACCAAAACAGTTCACATCATCTTCATCATCCTCCATGGGGGTCAGAGTCCACCGTCTCTTCCACAGACTCACCGTGTTTCAGGGTGTTGAATGAGTGCGGGGTGCCGTTCCTCATGCCCGCAATGGTTGACACTCCAACCCACACCTCGTACTTGGTGTTGCCCGACAGCTGGGTGAGGGTGATGGAGGTGGCGTTAGCTGGGACAGCCATGGGTTCTGGAGGGACCAAACGGAAGCAGCAGGTTAGGCAGAGCGTGGCGACCCTGAGGTCTGCGGGGTCAGCGTACGTACCGGGAGGCTTATTGTTCCTTCTGTAGAACACGGTGCAGTTGGTGATGAAGCCCTGCCTGCGCTCCAGCGGGACAGGGCTCCACTCCAGCACAGCGTGATCGTATCCTGGGACGGTCCTGGTCACAGACGGACCCTCTAGAGGAGCTGGAACAGAACCAGAACCCTTCAGTGAACCAGATGCATTTATTCCAGCACCACAGACAGGAAGAAGCTGACATTTATGGAGACTATTTGGTTCCATTTTCGCTGCCAGCAGAAAATAAGCTTTTCTGAATAAAAAAACAAACGGATAAACCAGCAATTCAAAGGTTCAACTGTTTGAATCATAGAAACATCTTAAGAGTAACTTTGACGTTTTCTCAGATTTTTTATTACCTTCACTTCTTTTTAAACCTATTTTTTTCAGATTGACGTAACGAATCTCGTTCTTTTCAAACTGTTTTCCTGATCTCTCCCTCCTGGAAGCGGGCTTTCCATTTCTCTGCTGGACTTCTGGATTCTGCACTTTTTGGTTCTGTTTAGGTTTTCATTTCACTTTAAACCATGTTTTTCTGTTTTCTACTTTTATTGGTATTATTTCCATTCTGTGTTATTTTCTAGTTGTATTTGAGTTCTCATGTATTCCTTGTTTACCCTCCGTGGCCCTCATGTGTCAGTCTCCTTTCCCCTCGCTCTCTTCTAGCTCCTTCCATCCACACCTGCTCCCATTTATACACCACCTGTTTAGTTACCGTTTGCTGGTTCAGTCTCTTGGCTCCTGATCTGGGTTTTCCCTGATGTCTTGTAGATTTTCGTATTTTTGCTTCAGTTGCCACCTTTTTGTTAATTAATCTGCATGAATCCACCTCAGCTTCCGTCTCTGCATTTCAAGCCTCCACCCAACCTGATATGGATGCTGGCATCAGCACTATTCAGTGATGGTTAACGAGGCATCATGAAGCCAAACTGTAGAGATGCTGCATTGATTCTATCAGAATACTGACACCTGCTGGACTTTTAAAGACATTACAGGCAGCTGATTGGACAGACTGAACTGAATTGATTTGATGACCTAGAACAATGATATCATTGAAGTTATTGGAGGTTATATTCTATTATTTCATATCTATGTTTAAATTGAAAATATCTTTGATATTTTTAGATGCAGCCAATAAATAATGTAAACATATCATAAAGTGAAAACATAGGGGGAAATGTGAATGAGGATGCTGCCGGACTAGGATTTTAAAACAATCCTAATTTTAAAACAATCAGTTCAGCAAAAACTGTAAATTACTAAGAGCCAATTTAAAATTAACTTCAATTCAGATGAACGGCTGAAACTTTTCTATTCCTTTTAGGCTCTATAATTCTGGATGATTTTAATGATAAACCACGAAAGCTGAGACATTATTTGAACAGATTTTTCATGTTGACAGATTTTAAACCCAGTCAGTCGGTTAGAAACAGCTCCTGGATCGGTCACATGACTTTCTGGATAAAGCGGTCAGCTCCATGGGCTCCACGCACGCACCACACATCGCCGTTAATGGACCATCACCATCACTATTGGTGAGCGTTTGGATGGAAGAGAATTTGTTCTGAAAATTTATTCATTTTGCAAAACTAAAAATACAATAAGAAAAAATGTTAGATAAAATTTTCAAACCTGCTTTCTAAATATTTTTATTTTAGAATTACATTTTTTTTTTTTTTACTTCAATTTAGTAAATATTTTTTGTTTTCAAAAATAACAGATAAAATCCCCCCCACAGATTCTGGTATTTATTCCTCTTTACTCCGATGCCTTCTGAGGAACTTTATGACCAGATGTGGGTCAGCAGCTGTCGGGCTTCCTACAGATATTAGGGCAGTGGGATGGCGCCCCCTAACGGGCACCCAGTGTAATTACAGGGGGCATTGTGGGTATGAATAAATGACTCATTTTTTATGCAGTGTTGAATTCTGTTGCACGGTAAAACAGACGGATAAAAAAAAAAAGATTTAAAGGGACACTATGCAACATTTTTCAGTTAATTAATGTGTTCCATAACGTTATGGATGACTAAATGAGTCATTTCAGGTTGAACAAAGGTTTTCTCGGCCGCCCTGGTGGTCTGTGGGGGAAATACCGCACTTGCAACTGCAGGAGCCCTCGACCCGCACCCACAGGCTCAGAAGTCTCGCGAGAGTCAGTCTTGCTTTACGGCGAGAACTGCTACACCCCCCAGTTAAAAGCATTCTCGTTGCTAGCACAGTGGCGATCTTTGTGCAGTTATGCTACGTTCACGCAGCAAAAGCAGCAAAATCGCGTCTGCTGCTTCATTTTTACTGCTTGTACCAGTTAGTTCTGACGCGCGGCTGAAGCAGCTTTGCTGCTCTGGCTGCTCGGTGCAAAAGTGTGTCTGACGCGCGTTGGGCGGAGCTTCACTATCCTTTCTCTGCCTTGCAGCTATATTTGCTGTGATCAGTGGGAATAAAGTAGTTTTAATATGTGTTTAAGTGAGAAAATACACCTGAAAACGTAATCAGTGCAGTCAGTTCATTCAGATTAATATCCTGCCTTCCATATTTTTTCTGTCGGAGCCGCTCAGACCCCCACATACCAGCGGGGCGCCGACAGTATGGATCCCTTCATCAGCAGCGGTTCACCGCGGCAGCTGGTAGGTGTTTTTCATCTAAATAATCCAAACTGCATATTCTGCCGGCAGATTTCTGCATTTTAAGTTAATTTAGGCGTCAATAAACTGTTTAAGAGGAGAGATCATCAGCGCTGTGTCTCTCTCCCTGCGTTAAACGCACCCGACGCGCTGCTTCAGCTGCTCAGACGTGCTGCGCCTGGTGCTCAAAACGCGCCGCGGGACCTTTTGCTGCGCCTTGACGCGCGTCAACCATTGACTTTGCATGTAAACTCGCTGCTTCTGTCGCGCCAGCTACGTCCAGTGTGAACGCAGCATTAGTCATTCTCTGCTAAGCTCGAAACAACCGCGCCTGGCTTGACGGAGAAACCAGGAGAACAGCTGTGCATATTTACGACAGTGCACTTTTACTTTCGCCCTCTGGAGGGAGCCTCGCTGGAAAATCAACACCGGTTGCATAGTGTACCTTTAAAGGTGATTAAAGTTAAGAGTCCCTTTCAGTTAGCGTTAGCTACCAAGACTCAGCATCTATAGGAACAACCGTCACACGTGACAGGGGTTGGTTACCATGGTGACAGCAGGAGAACCCGCCTCAACATCCAGACACAGATACTATGGATGGTTTAGATCCACAATTACACGATCAGACCGGCCTAGTTAAAGTCTGGAAGTAGATCAGTTAAGATTTGCTGATTGGGGGGTCGGAGCACCGCCTCAGGAGGAATGAATAGAAACAAAAGCAACACTTCCTGGTTTGTATTAGTGAGAAAACTTTTCACTTTATCTCACCGTTATAGACTAGTCTGTGTTGTTTTATTATGTAATAAGGTCCTAATAAAAAAACATCTGATATGTGACTTGACAGAAATTGGTTTCAAGACGTTGCTGTCATTTCCTGAACCACCTGTAGATCAAGATGATGCCCCATCTCCACCCAGCGGATCCGGCCTTCAGCTGCTGAGCGCTGGACTTCCTGTCCTCAGGTAAATAAAGAAGAAACAAAGAGATAAACGCTTCTCCTCACCTCCTTGCTCCAGATAGGCTTCTAGACTCGTGGGCTTCAGGAGCCAACCAGCCCTGATGGGATACACCGATATGTTGTAGCAGACGAAGCTCTGCAGCTTCCCTGGATGGGAGGGAGAAAACGGGCTGGATGAGAGCCTGACCTGCAGCGCTGCAGCGCCGCACTGGGCACCAGCTGAGGCTGACTTTACAGGCCTCCACATGTATGACTCCAATGAGAGGAGGAGTCTGCAGCCTAGCAGGAAAACTGTACCTTTAATGGCGGTTTTGTTGGTGCGTCCGTTTTCTCTCTGCCAGTCTGTGTGCGTGCGGTCGGACCACTGGATCACGTACTCTGAAACAGCTGAACTGTTGGGCCGTTTCCACGCCACAAACATCTGGCCATCCTGGCTCCACACCTTCATTCCTTCCACTCTGTGTCTCCCTGGGAGAGAAGCACATGTTAGCACTGAGCTAACATGCTAGCATTAAGCAGATATTTCTTTTATAAAGCTGCAGATATTAACAGCTGTTCTGGATTCTCTTTATCTGATGAAAGAAGTCAAACGGTGCAGGCTCATTCTGAGGAGGACGTCACGTCACTGTGAGAGCGTTTCACCGGGACGACCCAGACAGAATGGTTAGCCATGCTAGCAGGACGGGTTTTTTTGTTTTGTTTTTTAAATAGAAATGTTCTAACTTTTGGGACAATATGGTCTAAAGAGAACATTTATATACACGTTAAAGCCAGAATGCTTCCCTACGACTTTATGCCTGCTTTATGCTCGACTTGTCGCTGATGTCATCGCAGCCAGATGACGCCATTTCAGCGCTAATGCCCGTCCCTGCAGAGCACCTACAAAAAGCTCTGCATGTTTAACAGATGGAAAATATCGTCTGATTGGGAACATAAATATTTCCACCATCAGCAGACTGCGTCTGTGTTCCACTGGGATCAGCCGTTCAGCTCAGGTCCCGCCTCTTCTAATCGCTGAACCGTGGTGTTGATACGTGCTGCAGGGTCGACCTACCGGCCAGGCTGGATGGCACGTGCAAACACGCCTTTGGAGAAGTTCCCACAGAGTTGCTGGCAGTGGCGCACGCTTTGATGAACATTTGGTTGGCCAGAGAAATCCTTCTGAGCGGAGTGATCCCCTGCCTGGACATCCAGGTGGCTCCAGACTGCTGAACTGGGACCACCTCCTGCTCACTGCTGTCATTTCCGCTGCGCTGGATCGTCACGTTGAAAGCTGTGATCCTTCCGTTGGACATTTCAGGATCCTGAAAGGTCAGAGTCACAGATAGAGACGTGCTCTTAGGTCAGGATAACAGGGACGGGCGGATAAACGAAGTATTAGTTTTACCTTACAAACCAGCTGCACCTCTCCACCACCCGCATACAGCATCCACAAATCCGGTTTACTGGCCGGGCCTGAGTCACAAAGAAGAAGGTCAGCCAGGATCCATCATGTCTGCAGTCATACATTGCTGGTTTTTTTTTAGTTTTTTTGGGGGGGGGGGCTGCTTCAAAATGGGACCACAGACAGGAGCAGACATTTCCTCTGTAGCTACGATGAAAGCAAACAGGGGGTTTTCCGGTTGATCCACCCGCCGCTGGTCGCTTTACTTCCCCGTCATAAACTAACTCTAATTTAAAACCAGGCTTTGCTGTATAAAACCTGGAACTAAACGCTATTTCTGACATTTTGAATTGAAAAATCTTCCTGGATGGAAGAGAAACGTCTTCAAACTTGGAAACAAAGTCCAGTGGATTGTTTTTGAATTTTTTTTGCTTGCCTGGAACTACTGGGATCAGATTCATCAGAAGCGTGATGCACGGCTGTGTTTGGACACCAGAGCACCCCTGCATGCAGTGCTGCATTGGATCCTAATGTTGTTTTCCAACGTTAGCGCCGGCAGTGCTTCCTCCAGCTGATGCTGTGCTGTTAGCGGAGGTAGCTACTGAGGACGTGACTGCGCTGATTAGCTGCTGTCTGCTCCTGGCAGCTGATCCCAGGGTCCGACTGCATGTGAGATTTTAAAGCATCGACACCCATTTTGCCGAGCTTCGAACAAAAACTCCTTGGTCATCTTTAAATGAGCATTTTCCCGTTCTCCAGACTTTTCTCTGCCTCCCAGACACACGGTACCAATATGTCTGCAACCTGCAAACAGTGTTGCCAACTCCTCAGTAAGGAAAGTGGCTTTTTTGAAAAATAGTCACTGGAGGGGTCTGAAAAGTTGCTAAATATAGCGACAAAGTTGCCGAGTTGGCAACACTGCCTGCAAACTGTTTTTCATTTTAATGCTACTGATACATTTAATGAATTTTAATGCCATTAAATCAATTTAATCTAAATGAAATTGATTTAATGAGCCGTGGAAACCCTGTGCTCTGAGATGCTCTGACCACCGGTCCGTCATAAACATCAACCAATCAGAGAGGAGCTGCTAAACTCGGATGTTAGTGGAAACTCTGCTGCCATCAGGGCAGGTCCAGACGATGTGACCTGCCGTGATGTTCAGGCTATAATCCATCTCCTCAATCATCGGTCTGAGGATGAAAGCGGAGCACGTACTGTCCTCTGGTGTCGTTTGAGTCACATTGGCGCTCCAGTCGCTCCAGTAGCCTCCGCGCCTGCTTTTGCAGCGCACCTGAACGTCATACTGCTGGAAAGGTCGAAGCTTCTGCAGCCTGAAGGAAGTGATGTCTTTCTCTGTATATTCTTCAGGGACCTGTAAAACAGAGCGCTCTGCTGTGACATATAAAATGACAAAAATAACAGCTGGCCAATTTTTATTCCTAAATATACCAACTTCCTCAACCAGCCGCTTGGACAAAACACTGTAAATCAACATACATTAGCAACGTTTTCACCCTGAGATGGAGAAGAGGTAGAAAAGCTCCTGCCTGAAGGTCAGAGGAGCTGAGAATGGCGACATTAACACTTTCCATCTGTGAACTTACACTTACATGTCTCCACACGTGGGATCCATGCGGGCAGAATCGGATTTGATAAGCCAGCTTTAAATACACGCGTTCAATAGGATGTTCCCATTCGATAAGAAGTGAAGTAGGAAACATCTCCTCAGCAAAGACTTTCACATTGGATGGAGGAAATGTTTTCCCTGGAAAAGATCAACCAAACAGTCAGGGGACGATCCCAGCGGAGGCTGCAGAACAGAAAGGCCTTAAAAACATCAGCATTTCCAAACGTCTACTTACCAAATTCTTTAGCGTCTTTCTCCAGATGCTCAGACTCTGCTTTTCCCAGTGAATTGTGTGCCACCACTCTGACAACCAGCGACGTGTGGTGAGGGAAGACACCCATAGGCACAGTGATCTTGGTGTCCTGCGTTGTAACCTTAAATATTTGGCCCGGATGTCTAAACAAAGAAGAAAAAAGTGATCAGTTTAGTCCTTCAAACATTCCACCAAATAAAGACATGCAATCTAAGAACTTCACACAAGCGAGGACCATGTGTGGGTTTGCTTTTTGCTGAGAAGCCAAACATCTGCAGCCTGACAGATCTTCCTTCGGTTTACATCACCGCTCTGCCATAAAGCAGCGTCTGTGTAGGCGGGTGTGAAGGCCCGACCTCAGGGCTTAGCGGTCATGCTAACAACACATACATTTTGACTTTATAGAAAAACTCATCCTCTACATTAACATGAAACAATCATCATATTACATTTTATGCAGCTATAACTGTTTCATCATTCTAGTTAGCCACCCAATGCTAAGAATACTTCATGCTAACGCTACCTCGTGCTAATTATACCAAGTGCTAAAACTACACAACGCTAATGCTTTCTAATGCTACATCAACTTCATGCTAACACTACCTCGTGCTAATGATACCAAGTGCTAACACTACACAATGCTAATGCTATCCAATGCTAGATCTGCTTCATTCTAATGTTCCCTAATGCTGACAATATCTAGTGCTAATGCTTCCTAAAGCTGGATCTACTTCCTGCTAACGCTACCTCGTGCTAATGATACAAAGTGCTAACACTACACAATGCTAATGCTTCCTAAAGCTGGATCTACTTCATGCTAACACTACCTAGTGCTAACACTAAAAAATGCTAATGCTTTCTAATGCTAAATCTACTTCATGCTAACGCTACCTTGTGCTAACACTACATATTGCTACTGCTATCCAATGCTAGATCTTCTTCATACTACCGTTCCCTAATGCTGACGATATCTAGTGCCAACACTACAATTCAATTCAATTTAAATTCTATTCACTTTATTTCATGGAGTTTTTCCTCTCCACCGTCACTACAAGCATGCTTAGTGTGAGGGATTGCTGAAGAGTCAATGAGTCGATGCAATCAGCTGGTTTTCCTTAGATAGAAAACTTTGAATCAATCTGACTGGATGATCTGGTGAACTGGAAAGTGACCTGAGATGACATGATGTGAATTGGTGCTATAGAAATAAACTGAATATAATTAATTAGCCAAATGCTAACGCTGTTAATGCTTCCTCATGCTAACGCCAATAGATGCTACAACTACCTCATAGAAACGCTACTGTAATGCTATCCAATGCTAAAGCTACCCAATGCTAGCTTAGTGCTTGTATAAACTGTTGAGATTAGAACTATGCAGTGATGCTGCCTCCTTAATGATCATAGGCCAACTGTAGATTAATGCTGTTTTTAGTGCGATCTAGAACAGAAGGAACCAAAAGGAAGCAGACAGGGAAGATAATAATACTATGTTCAGAGTGCAGGCAGCAGAAGCGGCTAGTTTCCATGCAAAGTCAGTGGTTGATGCTCATCGAAGCGCATCAAAAGTTTCCTCAGCGCATCTATAGCAGGAGCAGCGCCTCACGACCTTCTAAGCATCTGAGGCAAGCTACGCGCTTCAGAAGCAGCAGCTGCTGGAGTTGGAAAAATGTAACTTTATCTGCTGGACGCGCCGCATCAACCAATGAGAGAAGCTGATCTGGGAGCTGGCAGGGAGTCAGACGCAGCACTGCTGATGCAGAGCGCTATGATCACTCCTCTGAAACAGTTTATTAACGCCTAAATTAACTTCAAATGTAGAAACCTGCCGGCAGAATATGTTGGCTTTTATTATCCTGCTGCCTGCAGTTTGTAGCACAGACCTGAAAAACGCTAACATCTACTTCCAGCCGCCACCAACAGGAGGGGAAAACCCTGGAGAGGCGAGCGGGCCTGAGGCAGCTGCTGCTGGGGATTCCCAGTGACAGCGCAGCGCCGGTATGTGGGGGTCTGAGCGGCTCCCACAGAGAAATAATCTTTGAAGGCAGGATGGTAATCTGGATGAACTGACTGCACAGACCATGTTTTCAGGAGGACTTTCTCACTTCAACATAGATTCTAACTACTTTCTACCCGCTGATCACAGCTAATATAGCCGCCATTGTTCCAGGCAGAGAAAGGACAGGGTAGCTCCGCCCACCACGTGTTTTTGGTGCTTCTGCAGCATGCAGTCTGAACGTAGCATCACAGTCACTGTTACAAAGGAGAGGCCTAAAGATGGAGTAGAGCCGTTCTGAGTGGTTACAATAAAGAAGAGGATTTAGAATGGGCCACCATCAGTCAGCATCTGGACCGCATGTGGATATTCAGCACAGGTTAAAACTGAACGGGTCTCTACACAGGAAATACTTTCTCCTTCCTTTGAAACTAATAAAGTTATTTAATCAGTATGAAGCATAAAGAAAATCTAAAAAGGCTCCGGTCACAAAACTCAGGCTCTTTGTCTGAAGGTAGAGCTACAGATAATAGAACATTAGGAGTTCTGCTGTAACAGGAGGTACTCACTCTTCCACAAACAGGGTGTAAGATGTTGGGACATGTTTGGTTTGACGACTGGCTGAATCCCACCTACAGGTTAGATTGCCGGAGATCCAGCGTCCCTCCTGCATCGCTTTACATGACAGATTCTCCGGCTTCTCTGGGTGATCTGATGTGGGGACAAGCAGAGAGACCAATCAGGAAACCCTCCTTCAGAACAGCGACTGCTTCTAGAAAGTAGGGCTTCACAATATTAGAGAAACAACATACTAGATCCCCACTTTCTATGGATTCTTTCTATTGTGGGCATAAACATAGAGGATTCATAGCGAGTCCAGAACTTCTGTCCAACGACAGCCTAACTTCTGCATGACGCACGGCAGCGTAATGCCCAGGAAATTATGAGTCCTGAGGGGGGCAGCGATGCACCCGGCCTGCAGAAAGAGATGCCTTTGATCGCGGTATTAACCTAGCTGCTGGTTACCACCCGACAAAATAATGAAGAAAGAAAGCAGGTTTCTGGTGTCAGCAGATTGAGCGTCATGTCTGCTAGGAAGTGTGTTGGTGGTGGGCGTGAACGCAGGGAGGATCCATCACTCACCTTCTGGCTCACCCTATGATGGGGATGAAGTCTGGAGGAGAACTGTCGGTTTCCTCCTGTGAACCCCTGCTATACCAAAACGCTGCCAATACGCCATTATACAGTAGCTGGAAGTTAGAAACACGTTCAGCGCTCGTCTGGAACACGGCAGATACGCTGATATGTTGGAGAGAAGTTCTGGAGAAGTTACGCAGAAGTTACTCAGAGGTTTAGGATCAGCTAGACGCCATGACTTTGGGCAAGTGGCTTTCACATTTCATTTGCCCAGAAACAGTTTTTCCTTGCCCAGTATAATGTTTGATAAATATAGTTCCTAATATTCATTTTTGTATATATATCAATGAAACATGTTTGTTTTTTAAATGTTTTTTGTAATTCAGTATTTTTTAAGTTTCCAGGTTCCTGGTGTGTATCTGCATGCGTCAGATAATGAACTCCAGCCTACATTACCGTGTTAACATGCTTTTCAATCCTTCCTGCTCATTCTTTTCAAACTAAACTTTGCTTTAAACTGTTGTGTGCTTGGAAAAATATAAACTGTAATGTTAAAAATCTAAAAAAAACATGACAGGTTAAAAACTTACACTACTACTACTCACCAATCTAACATGTTTAGCTCTATAACATTTAAATGCACCTCCCCAATGTCTAAGAGAAAAACATTTAATGAAAATGTTTTAATGTATGACCTGCATCACTGTACAGAAGATAGAAATATTTACACTGTGCGCATACAATTATTATTATTTTCCTAATCCCTGACTGATCATTTTTAATCTAGCATGTATTATAGTATAGATTAAAGTCATCATCCAGCTGCTGCTCTGCAGAATTCTCTCCCAAAGAGCTGAATCACGCCATGTGGCGAGAATGTGTACACAACAACAAAGATGGCGCCTGCAACGCTTCTGGGTCGTTTTCATCGAATGTCGGTGATTTTAAAGTAATTTTGAGTGATCAATAATTTTTTTTTGCGATCATTCATCAAATGCAATGAAATTTGTACTCTCCCGACAATAAAAACTACTTACCCCGGGAGATCAGGCGATGGTTAACATCAAGCCCTGCATCAGATAACTGACCTGGAAATGATGGCATACGGCGGGATGTCGACGTACTCGCCATATGATGACGTGTTCCAGCATGCTTCAGCGCGCTCATAGCCTATCCAAAGCATCCCAGCGTTTTTGCCAGATTTTTCGCATGTCAGGCACACGCTGGTCTAAATCTTCCAGGTGTGACAGCGGCTTTCGTCCTTTCATCCTACAGCAGGTTTATTAAACGCATCTCATTCATTGCATCACGGCTACAGAGACCGCGGCCATCATGGATCAGAGTTAAACCATTAGCTAACATTACTGCACTGGGCTGTGAAATGTACTTTGTTTATAACGATGCATCATAACCAGAAATGTTCTACATATTTGGAAAACAAACTAGAAATAGAGTGAAGCACAGATTCCTCACAGACACACAAACATTCACTGTTAATCAAACAGTAGAATCAATGGAGACAGAGAGGATTACTGCATGTGGGACTACAGCTGAGTGAACTTACATCCTTTCGTGATCCAGATTCCATGCAGAAACTTGGCTTTATTCAGGAGAACGTAGTGGGAGGTTCTCTCGGCGGCACAAAACAGCCACGCTTCCTCTTCGTCTGTGATGGGGAGGGTCACAGACACGGCTGAGGCATTAATCTTTGTGTAGTATTCTTCAGGAATGATGGAGGAGTTGATTTTCCAGTAGAGATCGTCTGCAGTGACTTCTGTGGTGTTGAGGATCACACATGTAGCCGTGAAGTTGGTGCCGATCTGGACCACTGGGCTCTGCGGCGTAACCATCAGATGGTTGGTGAATCCTGCAGAAAGAAACACACAGACTCAGGGCGTTATGAAGTATGTTATGCATTTAAAAGCTCTTCTAATTTCTGTCACTAATCAAATAAATCCAAGAACTCGGCCAGCAGCTCAAATCAATGTCAGACGGTTCACAGCGACTTCCATTCAAAATATCAGAATCTATTAACAAAAACATTTCAGCTCCTCATCAAGCATTTTCTGTCAACTAATCTAGTAAAGGATGATTAGTAGCAGGGCCGCCTGGATCCGGCACTGATATCAGAATATCGGCCCGCTTCGGAAATCACAGCCTTTAGAAGTGTAAGGGGGGGGGGGTTCCACCAGTGGCCCGTCCTGAGGTGTTCCAGATGGATGAGCCCGACCAGCGCCGTCTCTCTGCGCTGAGTCCCATGTGTGGTTTCCGGACGTGCGATGTGAGCAGGTAGATCGCTTCAGAGCGTCGGGCCGCACAGCGAAAGAACAAACATGGTGAGCTGTGAACTTTTAAACCCTGCGGTTTGAGCTGTAGCGATTGAAAATATGGTAGAGTGGATGTCCTTAAAGGGACACTATGCAACATTTTTCAGTTAATTAATGTGTTCCATAACGTTTTGGATGATTAAATGAGTCATTTCAGGTTGAACAAAGGTTTTCTCGGCCGCCCTGTTGGTCTGTGGGGGAAATACCGCACTTGCAATTGCAGGAGCACCGACCCGCACCCACAGGCTCAGAAGACTCATGAGAGTCAGTCTTGCTTTACGGCGAGAACTGCTACACCCCCCAGTTAAAAGCATTCTCGTTGCTAGCACAGTGGCGATCTTTGTGCAGTTATGCTACGTTCACGCAGCAAAAGCAGCAAAATCGCGTCTGCTGCTTCATTTTTACTGCTTGTACCAGTTAGTTCTGACGCGCGGCTGAAGCAGCTTTGCTGCTCTGGCTGCGCGGTGAAAAAGTGTGTCTGACGCGCGTTGGGCGGAGCTTCACTATCCTTTCTCTTCCTTGCAGCTATATTTGCTGTGATCAGCGGGAATAAAGTAGTTTTAATATGTGTTTAAGTGAGAAAATACACCTGAAAACGTAATCAGTGCCGTCAGTTCATTCAGATTAATATCCTGCCTTCAATATTTTTTCTGTCGGAGCCGCTCAGACCCCCACATACCAGCGGGGCGCCGACAGTATGGATCCCTTCATCAGCAGCGGTTCACCGCGGCAGCTGGTAGGTGTTTTTCATCTAAATAATCCAAACTGCATATTCTGCCGGCAGATTTCTGCATTTTAAGTTAATTTAGGCATCAAAACTGTTTAAGAGGAGAGATCATCAGCGCTGTGTCTCTCTCCCTGCGTTAAACGCACCCGACGCGCTGCTTCAGCTGCTCAGACGTGCTGCGCCTGGTGCTCAAAACGCGCCGCGGGACCTTTTGTTGCGCCTTGACGCGCGTCAACCATTGACTTTGCATGTAAACTCGCTGCTTCTGTCGCGCCAGCTACGTCCAGTGTGAACGCAGCATTAGTCATTCTCTGCTAAGCTCGAAACAACCACGCCTGGCTTGACGGAGAAACCAGGAGAACAGCTGTGCATATTTACGACAGTGCACTTTTACTTTCGCCCTCTGGGGGGAGCCTCGCTGGAAAATCAACACCGGTTGCATAGTGTACCTTTAAGGCAGCTCTGACAGAAGCAGCAGGGTTTAAGTCTATTCTGTCTATGATGGAAGCCATTTATTCTCCTAAAAGCTGACTGAGCGGCAGACTCAGTTTTCTCATTATAAGCGATTAGCTCCAGGAGGGTCACCAGCCCTTTAGACTGGGTGTGATAGGAACTGGTTAAAACTGGTAAAAGTCTAAGGCTACGTTCACACTGCAGGCCTTGATGCTCAATTCAGATTTTTTTGCTTTGCCGTTCATATTTCCAGATATATGCGACTTGTATGTGATCTCCTGTGTGAACTGCAGTCAGACAACGCAAGTGTCCCGCATGCGCAGTAGAGGACGCTATGACGTCACAGGCCAGCGTGCTCTGCATTTACAGAAGTAAACATGGATGGTAGCGCCGGCGCGCATCTAGCGGTCTTTTCCAACCATAAAAACTCAATCTTTTCAATATAGTTAAACATAAATACCGCTCTCCGCATCATCATCCGCCATGGTTGTTGTTTTTCTTACAGCTTCTGCGTAGCAACACGCAGAATACTGACCTTTGTGGGGTATTAATGACGTTCAGGTTGGATGAATGCGACCTGAATTATATCGGATCCAGGACCACAGAGCCAAGTGTTCTGGGTCAGATATGAGCAAAAAAAAAAAATCGGATTTGTCACTTCAGGCTGCGGTGTGAACGTAGCCTAAGATCCAAGAGGAAGAAGTCACTTCTGGAGCCATGAACATGAACAAAACCAGACGGATCGGCCGATGGAAATCAGTTTCTCCAGGGATCCGTAAGACCAAACTGCTGGGAAAGAGTCACTACCGTCTTTGGGAGATTCGTTACAAGTTCTGTCCAACAGGGCCACCCGTCCAAAATTAAAACCACCTCCCACATTTCAATGGTGATTTTGAATGTTGGGAAAAGAAGGAAAAGTCATCATCGTCAGAGTTCAGGCCATAAACCACAGCATGGCTGCTCTTTGTGTCTAAACCTGCTTTCTGATAAGAAAGGAAGCAGCCATAGATTGGAAACACTTTAAAACTTGCTTCACTTTGATCTAGTTATCAGCCAGTAAACTGATCTGTATTTTAATAAAAATTAATCTCACAATAAGTTGGTATAAACTTTTACCCCCTACTGTAAATCAATGGAAAGAGAAACTAGTGCACGTTTATACGATTGAGAAAATAACAGCAAAAATTAAACTTGTCCACTGGTTTATTTGAGAAAAGATAAAACCCTTTGAAGACATATTTCCAGTTAATATGGTAGTAAGTAAGATAAATGTAAACACACAGGTACATATTTGAAAGGCATACTTAACATATATCTCTGTTATGTGAAAAATAAAAGTCACTCGGGAAAGATTTTTCCTTTATTTCATCCCCTCAGTAAAAAAAAATAAATAAATAAAAAATAATAATAAAGAGAAAAAAAGCAACAAAAAACATGGATTTCCAGCTCGCCGACCTGTTTAGTTGTTGTTTCTCAATTGTTTGTATGGTTGTATTGAAAGTTGTTGTTTCTGGTTTATTGTATTAATCATGGATTTTGAATATGATCAAATAAAGTCTTTGCTCAAAAAAAAATGTATTAATTTCAATAACAGTCTTATTCCCATCAAATGAATAATAATAATAATGAGAACACTCATTTATTATTTATAATTAGGACAACAGGAAGATCCTTGCAGCGCTAATGGAGCTGTGCAGAAATCCCCGCATTAATGTAGCATTAGAATTGCAAAGAAGTGTTTTGATGAACTCATTGGTTGAATATTATACGTCTTCGGTTCCACGCAGAAGTGATGCTGACAGGAAGCATCAATGAACCGTTTGGGCTAATGGCTTCAACGACCCCCACAGTTCATGAAGCTTCATGTCGCCACCTACTGGTGGAGTCCAGAACTACAGTTAGTAATATAATCTGGGATAGGCTTTGCAATGGTTTTTCTTGTGATTTTATCCATTCAAGTTCCTTTCAAATTGTTAATGATTGTTGTGTATGATAGCAATCATTATTATGAACAATCATTTAAGCTTTTTCTGTGGTGAACAAAATGAAAGGTTTTAGTCATTTTTATTCAAATATTATAGTTGTTCCACAGTTTTTTGTTTGAATAGGGTTGGGAGTTATGTGTTCAACTAATCTTTTTGCTGAACCTACCAATCTATATTTGTAGAAGGAAAAACAAATAGAAATTAGTCACATTAGCCAAAATACTTGTTAAGTATTATTGCAACTTACAAAAGTCCAAGCTGGACTGGTCTGGAACGAACAAATTAAGGATTAGACGTCTATGTCTGACAGCTGATGCTACTGGCAATGGAGACTACAGATCAGAAAGCATTATTACTGATGTAACTTTAACCGCTGGTTTGATCAGATTCTGATCATTAGAGACGAGGCTCGTCTCATAACATCACCACCATGTAGCTGGAAGAACTGCTGATGCTGCGTGATGCTCAGAAATCTAGCAGATTATTAGCTGTTGAAGCCGATAGAGGTGGGAATGAAAGGGACTCAGATTTCAGCTTTTTAAAAACCTACAGTGCAGCGATAGAGATGATTCCTTCCTTCTATCATCACAGCCTCCAAAGCCTTTACAGGGGACTAAACATCTGAACATCTGGCCTGGGCAACCATTCCCCTAACCAGGGGCGTGCACACATAGACACTAGGTGGTGCTAAAGCACTAGGAAGTTTGCCCTCTATCAAAGAAAAGGCCCTTTTGAAACTGTTTTTTTTTTTATTATTATTAATATTATTAAGATTTTACTGAGGTCGGTTTTGAAATGATCTTTTGAAAACCTGAGCCATTAAAAACGACTGAAACAATGCCCCGAAATGACCGACCTCCTTACGCACACCCGACCAGCCTCTCTCTCTTCCTTTGTCACGTGAACTCGCTCGGTCGCCCGCAGGGCATGCCAGATGCGCAGCATCATAGCAGTTTTCAGATAGCAGGAACGGTCGCTGACAGGCTGCTTCTCCCGTGCCCCATTAGCCAGGTAATATACAGATCAAGCAAATCATTTTGTTGTGCATTAAAATGTCTCATTCAGCAGCACCAAACACGCATTTTGCCGACTGGTCACCAGATAAACTAGTTGTCTCCTTGTAAGATGCTATTTTACTTTTTATATTTTGTATCCATATTTTTTATCTTAAGTGTATACATTAGTCTATTTTATTGCATGACGTATACCCACAGTTTTTAGATATTTTTATAATTTTATTTACCTAATCCATATTATATGTTTCATGTTGTACGATTGTACCATAAAAAATTCCTAGTTTGTGAACTCCTTCACTAACAATGGCAATAAACCTGATTCTGATTCTGAAAGTTTTACACTGTAGCCCAAGTCAATGACAGATAACGTGAGGACGACCACATAGGCTACAAATAATTTTGGTAGAGTTTGCAATTGCAAATCTACGGAAGAGGATTAGGGCCACTGAAAAAAAAAAAAATGTTAACTGATTTTTAAATTTTATTTCAGTTTAGTATGGGAAAAAAGTCAGAATTCTGACTTTAATCTCAGAATTCTGACTTTTTTCTAATAATTCTGACTTTTTGCTCAGTATTCTGACTTTAATCTCAGAATTCCGACTTTTTTCTCAGAATTCCGACTTTTTGCTCAGTATTCTGACTTTAATCTCAGAATTCTGACTGAATTCTGACAATAAAAAAGTCAGAATTCTGACATAAAGTCAGAATTCTGACTTTTTTCCCCGTGTTAAACTGAAATAAAATTTAAAAATCAGTTAACTTTTTTTTTTTCAGTGGCCCTAATCCTCTTCCGTACAAATCTATGTGTAAAGACAAACGTTTACTGTTGTTAGGCAACATAAATTAACACATTTTGGTCTCTTTATTGTCTTAATTGTATATTGATTTAGTAATTGCAGCACAATGCCAAGAAAGGAGGGTTAATCATATTGAAAAATCTTAAAAGCTGTTCACATTTTATTTTTAAGTGGTTTGTGCAGCAGGTATTAAAATAGCTATTATTTTGTAGGCTACCATAAGTCATATCCACGTGACAAGACTTCCAGTCATGTTGCCCTAATAGCCCATTATTTAAACTAATGTGGCATATTTGTTAAAGCTATTATTATTATTATTATTATCATTATTATTATCATTATTATTGTCATGATGGTTATTAATAATATATTGTAGCCAGTCACAGCAGGGAAGCTCTATACCATCAACATATAACAGGACAGGAGATGAGGAAGAGTTCAGGAAAGACACAGAGACAGAAAAAGACCAGGATGAGGGGAACAGATGGGTGAGGGAAACCAGATGGGTGAGGGAGAACAGGGAGATGAGCCAGATGAAAGAAGTACGCTTTAGTCTGTTCTGTTGGTGATGTGACTTTTTTCCATTGAAAACTCACGTTTAGAGAATGTTACAAATTTTTTTTTATAATTAAGTGTTACACGTGCGCTAAAAAGTGCCCCCCCCCCCCCCCCTCCTGAGCACCTGCCCCCCAAAATGTCTGTGCACACCTCTGCCCCTAACGACCTCCTTCTGAGACATAGACCAGTATCGGGCATTGCAGGCTAACAAAGAACCCAAAATGACTTCCCATCCTAAAGGGTGGACCCGTTCTTTTGCTTCACTTTGCATGTTTTCTAAACCAAACCAAGGCTTGTTGAGCTACTCTATAAAACCTGGAACTCAACACTGTTTCTGACATTTTGAATTTAGAGAGACGGGAAGAAGTGGGTTAAAAATAACATATTTCTTTTGCAATAAACATTAATAGTGCTGCAAGTAGGGCTGAATTAATGTGATTAATCGATTATTGAAATAATCCTATATTTAATAATCAATTACTTGTTAACTGGAGTACAGAGGAGCTAAAACATGCTTTCAGCTGAAAGAGAACGCGACACGCCGAGAGCAGGAACTATACCAAGATAATCCAAAAATATATAAACAGTTTGCATTTAAGATAAAAATATTTTTCTTCTGTCAATCAGCTTTATCCAGAACTCCTCAAGTGAACACATTTTTACTTTCACCTGCTTTAATTTAGTATAAAATCATCTTTAAGAAACCTCTAGTTATCTGATAGTAATTCGATCAATAGAAAAAAAAATTAACAGATTAATCGTTTTGCAACATGATCGTTAGTTGCAGCCGGAACCGCATGTAGTCTTAATTCCAGACAGCCGGAATATTTATAACCACTTCAGTAAAATTATGTCCACATTTATTAGCTCACTTCTGCTTTTTACGCTCGTCTTTATATAGGACAAGAAGAAACTGAAACAGGAGTCACAGAGAATCATGTATGTGCAGGAGGCCCTTGGCGTAAATACATCCTCGCCGTATGGCACTCCGTTAGAAGAAAATCACAGCATTCCTAAGCAGTGAGTTAAAACCTCCACTTTCTCTGGAAACGGAGGCTTCTGAAGAATAAAGCTGCAGCATCTAAGAATCCGTCAGTTAAAAAAAAAGAGAGCTGAGGAGGGAGAGAGGCTGATGGCACGATGTGAACCCTCTGGGAGGGGCTTACATGTATGAAAGCCTGCAGACTTTGTTTGATTTTAACTTTTTTCATTACTTCTATTTTCTTCCTCACTATTACTCTCTGAAGTCTTGTCCTCTCTAACCAGGTCGTTTTCAGACAGTTTTCTTGCTTCTTTCCCTTTTGCACATTGCTATTATTACTATTGTTGCACTATTGTCACCCATTCCAGGGAGGCAATAAAAGTTCTACTGGATGCACTTTGTTTTAGTCTTTTTCCTGCTTCTCAAAGGAAGGCAGCAGCTTGACAAAACCATGATGGACACTATTTTACATCCAAGCAGGATGCAGTTTTTCATATATAAACACACCAACTTCAATCAAATGGATCGGCTGATACTGCATAACCAGGTATCGGGTATCGGGTCCAAAAAATGGCATCGGAGCAACACTAATTATTACCTTTTTGTTTTAGATCAGTAAATATTAGGGATGGAACGGTTTCTGAAAACCGTCCGAACCGTTCGGTTCGACTGTCTCGGTTCGGTTCGCGTGTGTTGCGTTCGGTTCATGCGCTGCTCCTTTTTCTCATAGGCGAAGCGTTTACACTCCAGAGCAGAAGGTGGCGGTACTGTGACCAAAGCCAACCACCGGTAGTAAACAAGAAGAAGAAGAAGCGAAGCAGCGTAGCCGGGCGTAGCAGGGGAAAAAAAATCAGTTGTTGTGTAGAATTGTGTGGGTATGGCGAGTGGGAAAGAACAGGAGTTGGAAGACGCGCCAGCAGCACTTTATAGGTCTGCTGTATGGGACCACTTTGCATTTAGAGTGACCTACGATGACGGCGGAAAGAAAGCTGTGGATAAAAGTGCAACAGTGTGCAAGCATTGTGCAACACGTTTTGTTTATGCTAGCAGCAACATGTCAGGCTAACAATCAACATATGCCAAACCGAAAACCGTGACCACGAAACCGTGAACCGAACCGTGGATTTTGTGAACTGTTAGTAAATATATAGTTACATGTGTATATATTTAAATTTTTATCTGAAGTTCATTTGTGTTGTATTTTATTTCTTTAGATGATGAATGTGTGCAATATGTTGTTCATATACCTGGAGCGTGTAACAAAGAGTATTTCCCCCTGGGATCATTAAAGTATTTCTGATTCCTGGGAAGCTGCCATGGTGTGGAGGTAGAATCCGTGACCCGTATTCAGGCTGTCACAGGTTCCAGTCCTGCTGACCTGCTGGCAAAATGTCTCTCCCCTCTATTGTTACTCACATGAACAACCTACATACTTTAAAAAGTAACAAAATAAAGAGCACCAGAGCCTAAAATAGACACAGACAGGCAGTCAGACTTCCCTCTATCAAGCACCACCACTAAGGGTCCAATACCATGGAGAATCCGTGTATCATTCGTTCTTTCTATTTTCAATTGCCAATCAAAAAACAAAAAATAAAAAATTGACTGGTTATTTTGTTATTTGTTTTTTATGGTTAAACCAAAAACGAAAAAAGGATTTGTTTTTCATATATCAATTCTAAGCTCAGATCAAGAATACGAAATGGAAAAACGGACAGCAACGCAGAATTTGTTTTTAATATTTAATCAGTACAGTTTACGTGACCCGGAAATAGCTCTTTGCGCAGCAGTTGGGGTAATGAAGTAGCTACCATGGCGACGCTAGAACCACACACTATGTTGATCGAGAAGCTGTTTGTTGTTGCTAGTTAAAAGTACAGTGCACAGAAAAGTTTCAAGAAAAAAGTTATACCTGGAAAATCCTGCAAATTTTCTCCGTTGTCATGTCCTCCTCAAGAGTCACACGCTTGGATCCTCGAAATAAAACGTAACTGTCCATGGCTGATAGGTCCGACTGCCTTATCTGGTGCAGTTTGATCGAACGTGGTGGGAGTAAGCCAATTGTTTTTTTAGCTAACGCTCCACCAAACTTCCGGGTCACGTAAACTGTACCGATTAAATATTAAAATCAAATTCTGCGTTGCTGTCCGTTTTTCCATTTCGTATTCTTGATCTGAGCTTAGAATTGAAATATGAAAAACCAATCCTTTTTTCGTTTTTGGTTTAACGATAAAAAACAAAAAACAAAATAACCAGTCAATTTTTTATTTTTTGTTTTTTGATTGGCAATTGAAAATAGAAAGAACGAATGATACACGGATTCATGGAGGCCACAGAATGCTGCTGATTCTAAATTCTACAGTCCATGGAAATATTTCCTGGAAAAGAAAAGTAGCTTTTCCAGGGAAACTTTCCATTTCCTGGGAAATCTGGGCGAGCAGAGAGCAGAGGAGGCATGGAAACTGACCGTGCTGAGCGTGGATCAGAGGGCTGATGAGGGCCATCTGGAGGACCAAGGAGGAGACCGTGGAGCAGACCATGGAGGACATTAAGGGAAACATCATGATGAAAACCGCACTGAACCTGAAATCAGAACGAGAGGCCATCAGGAAAAACAGACAGCTTCTACGTCACCGAGATGACGTACTTTTTCGTTTAAACCAATTTTCCAGAAGAGCGAATACCGTCTAAAGTATATTTATTCTACATGTTAACAGGAATACAGATGTAAAAAGTTCGCCATTTTTAAGCATCGGACTATAAGAGCAACTCGGCACATGTTTAGCTCAGCCAGCTAGCTGTTAGCTCCACCGTTGCTATGCTAAAGCAGAAAACAGCACAACTTACCTCGGCTGCTAAACAAGCAGCATGTTTTGGAGCTTTAAGCGTTCTAAACCTCTCGGTGAGACGTTCGTTTATCGCAGTAACCCAGTCAGTCACATCCCCTCGGGAGATTCTGGCTTAGAACCACCCACTTCCCGAAAGGAAAGGCTGTGTCGTAATAACATTGTTATGCTTCGGGTCACGATCAGACATGATTGCAGGACCCTCAGAACGGAACATCCAGCTCTGCTAGTTTAGGGATCAGCGGAAACGCCCACTGGAGATATACTGCTTCATGATTGGTCGAAATAAGTGTCGGTTCTGTTCCCAGCCAATCTTTTCGCTAGAATGTTGGCGTTTGTGGCTACGCACCATTTCCGTAACGGCAAAAGCAGGCGGCGTGTCGCGCGTCGTGTTATTACTTTCTAAATACTTTTGTTGAAAATGTTTTAATGAAAGGTTGATGAGATATCAGACTTATTGACCTGAACAGGTCGCCATTCTTTTTAGGTGCTGGGAATTCCCTAGTTTCAGATGAGTTGTTGCCCTCCTCTTCAAATGATTCCCAGCCTCATCACAACGGCTGACTGACATGGAGCAGACCCACTGTGTGTTTCCGGGATGTCTCCGCCCCTCAGTTACAGGAACAGACCATGCAAATATTCCCCACCGAATTAGCATTCAGTCAGAGACAGTTTGGCGACTAAATATTGAGAAGAGACTAAGCTGAGGTATGTTAAACAAACCCAAGGGATTGAGTCGGGTTATCTTGGTTTAATGGAGCCACGGCTCAGTTTGACCAAAGCAGTAACACATCAGTTACCATGGTGATGACCTATCGCGCAGCCAGTCTGCCTCAAACAGGTGTTGTGCTGAGAAAGAGCTCCCCCGCCGCCCTGAACTCTCGCACATTGATGAGAAAACAGATTGAAATGTGAACTATAAGGAAACGTTTAAACATATTCTTAATGTTTTCATAAGGCCTTTAAATTGAGAGTTTTGGTGGACAGATAATTTTGAATGAATGCGATTTTTAGTTGTATGAATACACAATGTGCTGCAGTCAGTGCGCAATAAATAGATTCTCTGCTGAGTGGATAATTTTTCCTATTAACTCCATTCTAGATCATTTCTGACACTTCATTTGTTAAATGTAGAATGTAGAACAATTCTCAGCACAACACTTATTAAAAACATAATTAATGTGCACAAATAAGGAATGGCTGTATTAACCATATGTGTAAACAGAGTTGTATGGGGCCCCCAGGAACTCGGGGCCCTAGGCAACTGCCTAGTATTGCCTAATGGTAGTGATTGAACCGTTTTGCCAAATTGCTTCAACGATCCCCACAGTTCATGAGGCTCCATGTGAACATGTCACCACCTACTGGTTAAGTGAAGAACTACAGTTTGTAATTAAATCTGTGATATTTTTTTGCATTTTTTATTTAAGGTGCAGCTTTTCTGCCATTTTAGTGAAATAAACTCAGACAGTGAAAGTGTTTGTGCAAATTGGACAATGATGAGTAAAACGAAAGGTGTTAGCCATTTTTATTCAAACATAGTTTTTCCACATCTTTTTGGTTTTTAATCGGGTTGGAAGTTGTGTTCAGCCAATCTTTTGGCTAAAGCGACCTAATTTGGCAGCGTTAATACCGAATCTATATTTTTACTAGGGCAAACCAATGCAAAGGCTCATTAGCCAAAATAACTAAGTATAATGGCAACTTTCAAAAGCCAAAGGTGGATCCTGAACCATCAACCTCAGTAGGGGGAGTCTGTGTCTTATAGATGACACCACTTATGTGAGGGATTGTATTTGAGTCAATGAGTCAATGCAATCAACTGGTTTTCCTTAGATAGAAAACTTTGTATCAACTTGACTGTATGATCTGGTTGAACTGTAAAGTGCCTTGAGATGACATGTGTTGTGAATTTGGCGCTATATAAATAAACTGAATTGAATTGAATTGAACTTATATTGTTAATTGTTCACACCAACTGTGTCCGGTGGCTTGCTCAGATTTCGATCTTTACATTGTTTAATTTAACCAAAATAGTTTTAAGCAACTAGAGTGGTTGAAAAACAACCAATCTATTCTTAGAATCTATCCAAACTCTATCCAACTGACAGCAGCTCTCCTCCAAACTCCCACATGTTGACTGAACATTGAGGCTGTTTAAATGCCTGTCAAAATTCTTGCGCTTCGCGAAGCGGTCACATGGTATCACGGTAGCGAGGCCTCGGACGTCATCAATTTTGGCCCCTCCCCTAAATGAATCACGCCTCGACACGCGCTCCGGGGAAACGCCCCCTCCATTACTCGACACACGCCTCAAAGCCTCGGCTCATCTCATAACATCACTACCTAATTTTAATCCCCCCCCGATCCAAGCTAACATTAAGTCTAACAGCCAGGCGGACATCCAAGCTAACAATCAGGCGAACATCCAGGCTAACAGCCAGGCTAACATCCAGGCTAACGGTCAGGCTAACATCCAGGCGAACATCCAGGCTAACAGCCAGGCTAACATCCAGGCTAACGGTCAGGCTAACATTCAGGCGAACATCCAGGCTAACAGCCAGGCTAACATCCAGGCTAACGTTCAGCCTAACATCGAGGCTAACAGCCAGGCTAACATCCAGGCTAACAGCCAGGCTAACATCCGGGCTAATGGTCAGGCAAACAGCCAGGCTAACATCCAGGCTAACAATCAGCTTAACATCCAGGCTAATGTTCAGGCTAACATTCAGGCAAACATCCAGGCTAACATCCAGGCTAACATCTAGGCTAACGGTCAGGCTAACAGCCAGGCTAACATCCAGGCTAACGGTCAGCCTAACATCCAGGCGAACATCCAGGCTAACAGTCAGGCTAACAGCCAGGCTAACCGTCAGGCTAACATCCAGGCTAACAGCCAGGCGGACATCCAAGCTAACATCCAGGCTAACAGCCAGGCGGACATCCAAGCTAACATTCAGGTGAACATCGAGGCTAACAGCCAGGCTAACATCCAGGCTAACAGTCAGGCTAACATCCAGGCTAACAGCCAGTCTAACATCCAGGCTAAAATCCAGGATAACATCCAAGCTAACATTCAGGCTAACGGTCAGGCAAACAGCCAGGCTAACATCCAGGCTAACGGTCAGCTTAACATCCAGGCTAATGGTCAGGCTAACATTCAGGCAAATATCCAGGCTAACAGCGAGGCTAACAACCAGGCTAACATCTAGGCTAACGGTCAGGCTAACAGCCAGGCTAACATCCAGGCTAACGGTCAGCCTAACATCCAGGCGAACAGTCAGGCTAACAGCCAGGCTAACCATCAGGCTAACAGCCAGGCGGACATCCAAGCTAACATCCAGGCTAACAGCCAGGCGGACATCCAAGCTAACATTCAGGTGAACATCCAGGCTAACAGCCAGGCTAACATCCAGGCTAACAGCCAGTCTAACATCCAGGCTAAAATCCAGGATAACATCCAAGCTAACATTCAGGCTAACATCCAGGCTAACAGCCAGGCCAACATCCAGGCTAACATCCAGGCTAACAGCGAGGCTAAAATCCAGGCTAACATCCAATTTATTAAAATTGTTGCCTTGGAGTGCCGCCATGGTAACCAGTAGACCTTTTATCAGCTTGCATCAAATACTTATTGTTGTTTAGTCAAGTTCTTTTTAACATTATTATGGCCTGGACAGGGTACTTTTCCCTGCTACAGAAAACACCAGCAGATTAATAATATAATTATTATTGTCAAAGTTTTCATAAACAGATGTCGTCTTACCAAAATCCTCCCTACAATGATGGCATTCAAAAATGAAATAAATATATTTCCTAACAGACTATGTTTTTCTGTCTGAATGTAATTCTTATGTAATCCTTACATCGTTCCCTGCACTTTATACTGTCCATAAACAAGCACTAGGAGCAAGCACTAGGACCAAGAGGAAAACTGCAGCTCAAGCTGAAGCCTGCTTCTCTGATTGGCCCTCTGTCTTTTCTCATGTGATTGGCTGTCACCGCTGTCAAACCTCAGAAGCTCACTTTACCAACATCTGATGCGCCTCTGAATCTGCTCTGTGATTGGACGGTCACAGCACCGCTCAATCCTACGAGCTACCGTAATTAAAGCTGTATGGTCGCAAGGCTTTATCTCTGCTTTCTGTTTTGTTTGATTATTTAAAATAACTTAAATGGTTCAGCAGTTACAGTCTTGAAGAAGAATGTGGGTCTGCAAAAGACAACAGTTTGTGAGGGAGTCTGCTCCTGTAAATTAGATGTTTGTTCTGCTCTTTGGTTCTATAATCTAGAAGGGTTGTAATATCAGGTGTATTCATTTACACACACCTTTGATCTAGTGTCCTGTGTGTTTAGTTTTTAGATTCACAGCTAGGATGTCTGAAAAAAGAAAGAGAGACATAAGAGACTTCTTTAAAAGTCAAAGTGGAGTTACATTCATAGAACTGTGTAACATCCCTCCTGTCATGCATCCATATATTTTGTCAGGAGAGGGACAGCAGAGATACAAGAGAAAGAGGAGAAAACAGAAGATCTTCTAAAAACATGATGAACTTATATATTAGTTATATTTAAAAATCCTTGCCCCCCTTCCACTTCTGAAATCAAAGTTTCGTCCATGCCTACTCTCCACACGGCTATTTGACTCCAGTGACCTCAAATGACACACTTTTTCGAGACATTGCTAAAAAATGTCACTGTTAGGTAGATTAACTTTGTTATGGTGACCAAAACACTTTAGATCCTAAATAAACCTTTCAAACATGATTCATTTAAAACTTAGAATACTGAATGTTAGGTTTCACAGTGCAGGCAACTTGGTTGGACTTGAAGAAAAGGTGGTTGAATACTTTTGAACACTTTTTAAACCATGTATGCTGTTCTTTCTACTTCAAATCTGTAAACCACTTTGTGTCGGTCTCTCACATAAGAAATTGATTTATGTTTGTGGTTGTAATGGAGAAAAGTTCAAGGGGTGTGAATACTTTTAGAAGAATCCCGGTCAACTCTTGTTTATTAGTCTGATCCAAAACAATGATGTGACAACATTAAGGTTTTCACTTTTAACAAAGAAACTGTGGATAACCATTTTCATATTTTGGATAAACTAAAATTATTAAAAACTCACAAATTTATTTATTTAGTCGATTACGATGCGATTAGTTTAGAGCTGAACATTTTGAATATAGACATACATACATACCTGAAGGGGATATGAGTTTTAAAATAACTTTTTTTAACTGTGATTTACAATTTTGGCTCATATGTGGATAAAAGCCCCCTGGTTTAGTTTAAAGCAACTTCGTTGGTTCGAATGGCCTAGTCCAAGTCCAGAACAGTTACCGACTTTACGACGGATGTTCTCATTTGCTTTCCACCCAATCTGACTGAGCTTCAACTATTTAGCAATGATATTCTAATAACAGAGACAGAAAACATCTTTTGCTTCTAAGGTCACATTTCAAAGCTGATCTGTGAGCTGAGTGAGGAAAGAAAATATTGAAAGTACATTTTAATAAGCTGTAGAAAACAGACAGATGTACAACAAATTCTATGAAACTGATCCAGATCGATGAAATGAATAAAGTCCTGTTCTTCCAAATAATACAAATCTGTCATTAAAAATGCAAAAGACATTATGATCCAGAGTACTGACTGATTTTATTTTATCACACCACATATGATCCAGACGTGTTACTCAGTGTCCATCATTTGAACAGATTCACCAACAACATCCAGAGAAAGAGGCGTCTCGGTTTTGGTGAGGACAGCGGTGGTTCCAGGTTTATACCGGTACTGGCCCTCTCTGGGGGAAGGACACACAAAGACATTTAGCTTTAAAATTAATTATTTTTAAGACAAATTCATTCATCTTAATTCAGGCTTATTCCTGGAGCCTTAGGAATAGGCTTTTTATAATACAAATAACAGCAGAGACAGAAAGGGAAGATTTAGAGACTAATATCTATGATTGACAGCATGGCAGACATGTCTGACTGAGCTCACCTTTGACCCTTCACCGTGGGCTTGTCATAACCTCGCAGAAACTGCGCTCCACCTTCAGTTATGATACACAAGTCCACATTGCTGCCTGAGCCCAGGTCACAGAAGATCCCTGCAACAATGGCGTCCCTCACAAGCTGTTTGGCATCCTCCAGCTTAAAAGGAGACAAGAGAAGTAGAGACATTATGTTTGCTGCTGAGGTATCCTTTCTGCTACAGTAGCTCAATGGTGTGAGGCTCAGGACATTCCTCGCTAGTGATGTTACCTCCAGAGGCAAAGCTAACATTCATGTCATCAAAGCTAGCATTCATGTCATCAAAGCTAGCATTCATGTCAACGAAGCAAGCATTCATTACATCAAAGCTAGCATCATGTCATCAAAGCTAGCATTCATGTCTTCAAAGCTAGCATCATATAATCAAAGCTAACATTCATGTCATCAAAGCTAGCAACATGTCATCGAAGCTAGCATTCATGTCATCAAAGCTAGCATCATGTCATCAAAGCTAGCATTCATGTCATCAAAGCTAGCATTCATGTCATCAAAGATTCATTCATGTCATCAAAGCTAGCATCATGTCATCAAAGATAGCATTCATGTCATCGAAGCTAGCATTCATGTAATCAAAGCTAGCATTCATGTCATCAAAGATAGCATTCATGTCATCAAAGATAGCATTCATGTCATCGAAGCTAGCATCATGTCATCAAAGATAGCATTCATGTCATCAAAGATAGCATTCATGTCATCGAAGCTAGCATCATGTCATCAAAGATTCATTCATGTCATCAAAGCTAGCATTCATGTCATCAAAGATAGCATTCATGTCATCAAAGATAGCATTCATGTCATCGAAGCTAGCATCATGTCATCAAAGATTCATTCATGTAATCAAAGCTAGCATTCATGTCATCAAAGATAGCATTCATGTCATCAAAGATAGCATTCATGTCATCGAAGCTAGCATCATGTCATCAAAGATAGCATTCATGTCATCAAAGATAGCATTCATGTCATCGAAGCTAGCATCATTTCATCAAAGATAGCATTCATGTCATCGAAGCTAGCATCATGTCATCAAAGATTCATTCATGTCATCAAAGCTAGCATCATGTCATCAAAGATAGCATTCATGTCATCGAAGCTAGCATTCATGTAATCAAAGCTAGCATTCATGTCATCAAAGGTAGCATTCATGTCATCAAAGATAGCATTCATGTCATCGAAGCTAGCATCATGTCATCAAAGATAGCATTCATGTCATCGAAGCTAGCATTCATGTCATCAAAGCTAGCATTCATGTCATCAAAGATAGCATTCATGTCATCAAAGATTAATTCATGTCATCAAAGCTAGCATTCATGTCATCAAAGCTAGCATCATGTCATCAAAGCTAGCATTCATGTCATCAAAGATAGCATTCATATCATCAAAGCTAGTATTCATGTCATCAAAGCTAGCATTCATGTCATCAAAGCTAGCATTCATGTCATCAAAGATTCATTCATGTCATCAAAGCTAGCATTCATGTCATCAAAGATAGCATTCATGTCATCAAAGATAGCATTCATGTCATCGAAGCTAGCATCATGTCATCAAAGATTCATTCATGTAATCAAAGCTAGCATTCATGTCATCAAAGATAGCATTCATGTCATCAAAGATAGCATTCATGTCATCGAAGCTAGCATCATGTCATCAAAGATAGCATTCATGTCATCAAAGATAGCATTCATGTCATCGAAGCTAGCATCATGTCATCAAAGATAGCATTCATGTCATCGAAGCTAGCATTCATGTCATCAAAGCTAGCATTCATGTCATCAAAGATAGCATTCGTGTCATCAAAGATTAATTCATGTCATCAAAGCTAGCATTCATGTCATCAAAGCTAGCATCATGTCATCAAAGCTAGCATTCATGTCATCAAAGATAGCATTCATATCATCAAAGCTAGTATTCATGTCATCAAAGCTAGCATTCATGTCATCAAAGCTAGCATTCATGTCATCAAAGCTAGCATTCATGTCATCGAAGCTAGCATTCATGTCATCGAAGCTAGCACTCATGTCATCAAAGCTAGCATCATGTCATTGAAGTTAGCATTCATGTCATCAAAGCTAAGGTTCATGTCATCAAAGATAGCATTCATGTCATCAAAGCTAGCATCATGTCATCAAAGCTAGCATTCATGTCATCAAAGATAGCATTCATGTCATCGAAGATAGCATTCATGTAATCAAAGCTAGCATCATGTCATCAAAGCTAGCATTCATGTCATCAAAGATAGCATTCATATCATCAAAGCTAGTATTCATGTCATCAAAGCTAGCATTCATGTCATCAAAGCTAGCATTCATGTCATCGAAGCTAGCATTCATGTCATCGAAGCTAGCACTCATGTCATCAAAGCTAGCATCATGTCATTGAAGTTAGCATTCATGTCATCAAAGCTAAGGTTCATGTCATCAAAGATAGCATTCATGTCATCAAAGCTAGCATCATGTCATCAAAGCTAGCATTTATGTAATCAAAGATAGCATTCATGTGATCAAAGATAGCATTCATGTCATCAAAGCTAGCATCATGTCATCAAAGCTAGCATCATGTCATCAAAGCTAGCATTTATGTAATCAAAGATAGCATTCATGTCATCAAAGATTCATTCATGTCATCAAAGCTAGCATCATGTCATAAAAGCTAGCATTCATGTCATCAAAGCTAGCATCATGTCATCAAACATAGCATTCATGTCAAAGATTCATTCATGTCATCAAAACTAGCATCATGTCATTAAAGATAGCATCATGTCATCAAAGCTAGCATCATGTCATCAAAGCTAGCATCATGTCATTAAAGCTAGCATCATGTCATCAAAGCTAGCATTCATGTCATCAAAGATAGCATTCATGTCATCGAAGCTAGCATCATGTCATCAAAGCTAGCATCATGTCATCAAAGCTAGCATCATGTCATCAAAGATAGCATTCATGTCATCGAAGCTAGCATCATGTCATCAAAGCTAGCATCATGTCATCAAAGCTAGCATCATGTCATCAAAGATAGCATTCATGTCATCGAAGCTAGCATCATGTCATCAAAGCTAGCATCATGTCATCAAAGATAGCATTCATGTCATTAAAAGCTAGCATCATGTCATCAAAGCTAGCATCATGTCATCAAAGATAGCATTCATGTCATCGAAGCTAGCATCATGTCATCAAAGCTAGCATCATGTCATCAAAGCTAGCATCATGTCATAAAAGCTAGCATTCATGTCATCAAAGCTAGCATCATGTCATCAAACATAGCATTCATGTCAAAGATTCATTCATGTCATCAAAACTAGCATCATGTCATTAAAGATAGCATCATGTCATCAAAGCTAGCATCATGTCATCAAAGCTAGCATTCATGTCATCAAAGATAGCATTCATGTCATCGAAGCTAGCATTCATGTCATCAAAGATAGCATTCATGTCATCGAAGCTAGCATTCATGTCATCAAAGCTAGCATCATGTCATCAAAGCTAGCATCATGTCATCAAAGCTAGCATCATGTCATCAAAGATAGCATTCATGTCATCGAAGCTAGCATCATGTCATCAAAGCTAGCATCACGTCATCAAAGCTAGCATCATGTCATCAAAGATAGCATTCATGTCATCAAAGCTAGCATCATGTCATCAAAGCTAGCATCATGTCATCAAAGCTAGCATCATGTCATCAAAGCTAGCATCATGTCATCGAAGCTAGCATCATGTCATCAAAGCTAGCATCATGTCATCAAAGCTAGCATCATGTCATCAAAGATAGCATTCATGTCATCGAAGCTAGCATCATGTCATCAAAGCTAGCATCATGTCATCAAAGCTAGCATCATGTCATCAAAGATAGCATTCATGTCATCGAAGCTAGCATCATGTCATCAAAGCTAGCATCATGTCATCAAAGATAGCATTCATGTCATCGAAGCTAGCATCATGTCATCAAAGATAGCATTCACGTCATCAAAGATAGCATTCACGTCATCAATGATAGCATTCATGTCATCAAAGATAGCATTCATGTCATCAAAGATAGCATTCGTGTCATCAAAGATTCATTCATGTCATCAAAGCTAGCATTCATGTCATCAAAGATAGCATTCGTGTCAACAAAGATTCATTCATGTCATCAAAGATAGCATTCATGTCATCAAAGATAGCATTCACGTCATCAAAGATAGCATTCATGTCATCAAAGATAGCATTCGTGTCATCAAAGATTCATTCATGTCATCAAAGCTAGCATTTATGTAATCAAAGGTAGCATTCATGTCATCAAAGCTAGCATTCATGTCATCAAAGATAGCATTCGTGTCAACAAAGATTCATTCATGTCATCAAAGCTAGCATTTATGTAATCAAAGGTAGCATTCATGTCATCAAAGCTAGCATTCATGTCATCAAAGATAGCATTCTTGTCATCAAAGATTCATTCATGTCATCAAAGATAGCATCATGTCATCAAAGATTCATTCATGTCATCAAAGATAGCATCATGTCATTAAAGATTTATTCATGTCATCATGTCATCCCCCACAGGCTGGCCGCAGCAGAGAGCTTTCAGCGGGGATTTCCAGTGCTGCCTCCCGGCGGGATGCTGCAGGTCTGGAGCTCCCAACAAGAACTGCAGATTTTAGTGGGATTATAATCCTGATGAACTGATGAACAGAGGATAGTTGGAGGTGGACTTCCTCACCTAAAAACCTGTTCAAACAATTTTTCCAACTCATAAAGTGAATAAAGCCGAGCTGCTCTCCAGCTTGAAGCTACAGAACAGAGCAGATAAACAACCAGAGCGTCAAAGTAACTTGACCAGTTTGATCTACATCAAGATTTCTGCGTCTGAGCATTCTTGACGCTCATAACGCCTTTGGTGTGATGCAGCATTAGACATGGCTATCAGACTGAAGGAAAGACGCAGTAAAAAAGCTGTGATGACTGTGGAGGAGCTGCAGGATCCTTAGGTCAATGGGTTAAAGACCTTCCTTCAAGCTTTATGGTAATGGAAGAAGGAAGCAAGTGTTCAAAGAAAACGGTGCAACCAGTGCAGAAGCTGCTCTGCTCAGATAAAACCAACAATCTATCATGTGGAGAAGAGTAATCTGTGCCTAACCCTGAACACAGTGTAGATGTACAAACAAACTGGTAGGAAATGGTGAGAAGATGTATGGAACGTCTGTTAGAGCCCGTAAAATATTTGGTATGAGGGTGGAGGTTCTGCTTCCAGCAAGAAACCTTCCCTCCCTGCATGTCCTGAGATACAAAGGGATGTTTTATATGTAGGAGTGTTAGAAAAGTGTAATTGTCATCATTTTATTTGTACTAAGTTACAGGAATTCCCTGTAAGGAATGTTGGGTTGTTTTAACTTTAAACAGGGAGAGAAAATATGTCTTCCAGGAAGGGCCTGGCCTTATCCAGCTGTGCTGTTGCAGCTGATAGATCACCATCCCCCTTTTTGTATATGTGAACTTCTGACCCCTCCTGTTACTCCTCTGAAGTCCGATAATAAAGGCAGGGGGCAGAGAGGTCCCAGCAGAGTCCACCACAGACATTCAGGGAGTGTCTGGGTCCACTCTCCTCCTCTGCAGTAAAGTAACCTGTGTTTATGTTGGTTTAGTTCTACTGTAGGACAATAAGGGGTTATTATCATTAACCCTAAAAGGGAGTATTCATCTGTAGGAATGGCCTAGTCAAAGTCCTGACTCACATCCGACTGAGAAAAGGAGATCCCCACCAACCCAGTCTGACTAAGCCTGAGCCAAAACATAGGGGGATGATTTAGGGGTTAGATGTGCAAAGCTGGCAGAGACGTAAAGACCTGCACTCTCAGTTTGTGTGATTTTGTTGTTCTGTCACAAAAAAAATGAATAGATTTGACTTCCTGGTTTTAATGTTAAAAAATGATTAAAAGGTGCTTTTAAAGCCGTTGGCTGGACTAGACAGCTGCCTGGTGATTAGCTGCACTAGTGAAGATCAAGCCAGATGAAATAGTGACTCTCACCCCCCACCCCCTACATCACCTCCCGATCCAGGAGATCATGTCGGTTTTAGAAGATAACAGCAGGTCAGCCGTACCTCCATATTTGGTTTGAATCTGTCCTCAAACACAGAAACGGCAGCAGCAGCTCCTGAGCCTAAACACAGGAAACAAGAACAGGGCATGAACACAGGGACTGCTGCAGATTCACAAAGATTCAAACTTTTTACTTTGATCAAGCCAGACGGACAATAAGGAGAGCAACGGCTTTACCACCAACCAGAGATTGTTCCCATTTTGTTAGCAAAAAGCTCTGTTAATGGGATCCACAGAAAAAAATGACTTATTTCTCCTATTAAAAAAATCTCTCTTAGGTTTTTGCATGATGACTGTTAGTGTGCAGGAATGGTTTGTCTCTGTGTTGTCCTGCGCTAGACTGGCGACCTGTCCCGGATGATTCCCTTCGGTGTTCTGTCAGACCAGCATACCTATAGTTAATGTGCATGCACAAGACGACGGATTTGCGTTTATCCCTTTAGTGTGTACGAAAAATAAACTTTAAACTACCTCAGTGGGCGTGCTTCCCTTTAGTCAAGTACAAAAAACAATTTAAGGTCAGACACCAGAAAGTAAGTAATTAAATAATTTTTTTTGCACAAGGGATACACGCCTGCTGGGGTAGTTTAAAGTCTATTTTTACCAAACTAAAGGGATAAACGGGTATTGACTATGACTATGCTGGTCTGACTGGGTATGCTCACCTGACCGAACATCAATGCTTTCCATTGCTGTCCAAAAAATTGTGCAGAAGAGAAAACTTTCACATCGCATAACACACGAAGACACCGCAAAGAATGCTAGTGGATTGGTTGAGATCACTAATAAGAGGTCAGGGAGGGAAATTCACTCTGACTTCACCACTGGAGGCATCCTTAGGAGGAGTCAGGAGTTTGAGTAAAGCTCCTTGACGGAGAAATAAACTTTAAAGCAACAGTTCCCATGTTTTTCTTTTCTTTTCATTTTGATATTTAAAAAGAATGAAACTGATTTTACTTTTACAACCAATGCTTAAGAGCAAATTTAATAATTGGAAGTGTGTCATGCTATAAACACCAGGCGCAGATGGAGGTTCCAGTCGGCTGGTACGACGCATTTCACTTGCAATTAAAAAAGAAAAGACTTTTTGTAATGTGTGTAGCTCTATTAACCTCTTGTTTATGTTAGCTAGCTGCAGTGCCGGGGTCTCAGGGCCCTGTAGGCGATTGCTTGGTTTGCTTGTTAAACAGGCCTGCAGCGGCAAGAGAAAAGGAAAGCTGGGGAACCAGGGGTGCACATTTAAAGGACGTTATAATGTGGAACGACTTTTACCATTTAACAAATGGAGGCTGGAGGTTAACGTGGCAGTTAAAGGAGAGAGGTTGGAGTCTGAATACAGAAACACAGAATAAGGAGGGCAGATAGAATTCCATTCAATTCTATTCAGTGTATTTCTATAGCGCCAATTCACATCATGTCATCTCAGGTCACTTTCCAGTTCACCAGATCATCCAGTCAGATTGATTCAACGTTTTCTATCTAAGGAAAACCAGCTGATTGCATCGACTCATTGACTCTTCAGCAATCCCTCACACTAAGCATGCTTGTAGCGACAGTGGAGAGGAAAAACTCCCTTTGAACAGGAAGAAACCTCCAGCAGAACCAGGCTCAGTGTGAGCGGCCATCTGCTGAGGCCCACTGGGGTTCAAGGAGACAGAAGCAGACATAGAAAAAGAAGCATAGATACAAAAGGCAACTGTCAACCAGCTCCACAGGCGGCCCCGTCCAGGAAACACACAGCCAGGCAGACGAGCTCCGAGCCAGCTCCCATGCCAGAGGATGAAGAGAGCACATCCAGTTAGTCACAGTCAGAGAAACAGGACTACACTGGAAAACAGGCCAAGCTCCAACATCTAGAAACAAAGGTGTTGATGGCAGCAGCACAGCTGATATTTCTCTCCAGGATGGAGTCACAGCCAAACAGGAACAGACCAGATGAAGCTACTATGAGAAAAAGCAGAGAGAGCAGAACGTTAGAGATTGAACTAACAGATTCTGCAGAGTGGGAGAATAGAGATAGAATGAAGCAGAATGATGGAAAAGGGGTCCCTATGTCCTCCAGCAGTCTAAGCCTATAGCAGCATAACTATAGAGATAGCTCAGGATAACCTGAGCCACTCTAACTAGAAGCTTTATCAAAAAGGAAAGTTTTAAGCCTAGCCTTAAAAGTAGACAGGGTGTCTGCCTCACAGACTAAAACTGGTAGTTGGTTCCACAGGAGAGGAGCCTGAGAACTAAAAGATCTGCCTCCCATTCTACTTTTAGAAATTCTAGGAACCACTAGTAAACCTGCAGATTGAGAGCGAAGTGCTCTGTTAGGAACATAAGGAACAATCAGATCTCTGATATCAGATGGAGCTTGGCCATTTAAGGCTTTATATGTGAGAAGGAGGATTTTAAATTCTATTCTGGATTTAACAGGAAGCCAATGAAGAGAAGCCAGGATAGGAGAGATATGATCTCTCTTTTTCATTTTCATCAGAACTCTGGCTGCAGCATTTTGGATCAGCTGAAGGCTTTTAACTACAGTTAGAAGCTAGGCAGCCATGGTAGAAACCAGAAGGGACAGATATGGACCGGTCTGTAAAGAGACTTTCAGACCAGATCATCATCTGGAGGCTGTAGACACAGACGTTATGGTGCTGGATGCAAGAAGTACAGAAGAAACAGAGAAGGAGGGAGAGGGTGGTGGAGAAAAAGAGGAAGACTCTAGAGACAGAGGACACAGAGATGATGAAGGTCTGCAGTGATGCTTCTATCAGCTGGAGAAAACTGGATGTTTCACCCCATGAAAATGTTGCCAGCAGGCGTGTTTAGGGGGAACAGTTGTTAGCGCACGGAGGCCTTAGTCCTCACCCATCTTGGTTTGAATCCGACCTGCGGTCCTTTGCAGCATGTCTCTCCCCCTCTCTCACACCCCCTTTCCTGATGAGCCACTAATGCATTTAAAAACTCAAAAAATAAATAACTGTAGCCAACAATTTTAATTGTTTTAATTGTTATTAATTCTGGTTCTGATCATTTTATCTTTTGCTTTGGTTTTCTCTTAAATCGTTCTCGTCGTTCTCGTATCTTTTGCACCTTTTATGTCCTCAAAGCCAAACAGAGCATACCCATGGTCAGGAAAGGTAGTTTATCATAGGAGCCATGGGGATAGACGCTGTACAGGTGAGCTCCAGTCACATCAACTCCTCCGACAATCACGGATGAACCCATGTGTCCCTGGTACCTGAAAAGAGAAGGTTTTAGTTCCAGTTTTTACGATGTCTGAAGGTCAAGAAGCTCCTTCTGTTGATATCAGGAAACCTGTTGGAATGAGCCAACATTGATTCCGCTCACAGTTTAGATCACTCATAGATTCCTGAACGCACCCACTATGGTACATGAAAGGTGTCCCACTCTATTCTATTCTATTCTATTCTATTCTATTCTATTATATTATATTATATTATATTATATTATATTATATTATATTATATTGTGTTTGTTTTCTTTTGTCCAGCATTTTATTGTCATTCCACTTTCACAAGTACAGAGCAACGTAATGAATTCTCTGCATTTAACCCATCCCCTTTGGGAGCAGTGGGCTGCTATTGTGCAGCGCCTTGGGAGCAGTGTGGGATTAAGGGTCTTGCTCAGGGACCCAGAGTGGCAGTCTGTGGGAGTGGGGCTCAAACTCAGAATCTCAAGATTCCAGGCTCTATGCTCTAACCACTAGGCCACCACTCCCCACTGTTCTGTTCTATTCTGTTCTGTTCTGTTTTATTCTATTATATTCTATTCTGCTCTATTCTGTTTTATTCCTGTCAGGATTCTGCCCTTTAAGTTTCTTTTTGAGTTTTCAGTTTCAGTTTGTTTTATGTCATTCTATTCCTTGACTGTGACAGACTGATGACCTGTCCAGGGTGGACCCTGCCTCTCACCTATAGACTGCAGGAGACAGACACCGGATGGATGTAGTTTTTGAGCTACTCTCTGTTCTCACTTTGTCCCAGTCTCATTTCTTCTAGTTCCCTTCTAGTTGTGTCAGCTTTGACTGTGGTTTGAGGACCCAAATACAGAGGCAGAGGTGAGTTCTTGCAGTTTTAATGAATAAACACTGGTAAAAGACAGAGGCAGGAATCCAAAATCCAACTTAAAATGTAAAACTTAACCAGAACCACGGAGACATCAGGGAAAACAAGCACGAGGAGCCAGAGAAAGACAAAGAGAGACGTGGAACCAGCACTGAAGAACTGCACAGGGAGAGTATTTATGGTTGACTGAACAAAGAGATGACTAACAAGCAAATTGGGAGCAGGTGTGAACAGAGGCTTCCAGGAAAAGAGCTAAGGAAAAGGAAACCAACACAAAAAGGCAACAGAGGGCAACAAAGAAAAGCCTAAGAACTCAAATACATACAAAACCACAACAAAATAGGAATTAAACCTATTTTGCACACATGACCCATTAAACCAGGGTGCAGACCAGGAAGCAGAGTCCTAGTTTAACAGACCTCTCTGCAGCTTCTCTACTGTTGCCCACTCTTTACTCCATCCAGACAGTGTCTTGTCCACGACCAAAATCTAATAAATTAGCAAAGATTCCCAAAGGAGTAAATCATGATAATCTAATTAAAATCAAAATAACTTCAATTGGGGAAAAAGTTAAAACAATTAAATGCGGTCTGTTTAACATAAGATCTCTTTCCTCTAAAAGTCTGCTAGTTAATGACTTGATTTGTGATAATCACATTGACTTGTTTTGCCTTACAGAAACCTGGCTGCAGCAAGAGGATTATGTGAGCATAAATGAGGCAACTCCTTCAAGCTATTTAAATTTTCACATACCCAGAAGTTCTGGGCGAGGAGGAGGAGTAGCAACAATCTTCCAGTCTGACTTACTCATTACTCCCAAAACAGTTAATACCTACAACTCTTTTGAACATTTAACCCTTAATTTCCCTGATCAAAATTTCAAAGCAAGAAAACTTCTTTTTGTAACTTTGTATCGTCCACCAGGTCCTTACTCTGAATGTTTAGATGAGTTTTCAGAGTTCCTTTCTGATTTGGTATTAAATACTGACTGTTGGGAGCTGGAGAAATTCCACCTTTCTCCAGCAGAGTCCGCCGTGGATCCTCTGAGGGAGCCTCCTGCACAGCTGCAGCTCGTCAAGATCATCAGAGGATCCACTACTTAAGCTGTCTTCAGACCTTGCCTCAACGCCGCAGTATTGTTCCAGTTGGAAACCTGTGCCTCCTCTGTGAAAGCTCTGGAAGAGCTAGCCTGCCGAGCCGACCCTCTGAGGCAAACCTGAAGATTCACAGAGAACCTCCAAGCTGCTCTGGACTAGAGCTGGGAAACCCAAAGCCAAGGTCTGTTCTAATTAGACGTGAGACGCTGAAGCAGCTAACGGACTCTGCTGATGAACTCTTCTCTAGAACCAACAGTGACTCTCCCAAAGCTAACCTCAAGAACCCTCAAGGTACAATCAGTGAACTTCTGGAAATCAAACCTCTGTTGGCAACGCTAACTGAACTGTCTCTCACGCAGACTCCGGTGAACCAGAATCCAGGCCCCGAACCAGAACCCGTATATTCAGTGTGCTTGTGCATTAATAAAACTGTTAAACTTTCATCCTTGTGTCCGTCAGTGGTGTTCTGCATTCTTGGGTCGCTTTCAGTGAACCCATCATGACACTGACAGGGTCATCATAGTGGGAGATTTTAACATCCATGCTGACATTGAAGGGGATAGCTTAAGAGCAGCCTTTAATGCTATCTTAGACACTATTGGCTTTGTTCAAAATGTGAATAGTCCCACACATTCTCATCTTCATACTTTGGATCCTGTGCTGACATACGGGATAGAATGTGAAGAAATAGCAGTATTTCCTCACAACCCTGTCCTCTCTGACCACTTTCTAATAACCTTCAGGATTACTTTAACAGAGTTCTCCTCCCCCAAAAGAAGGTTTCATTTTAGTAGATCTTTATCAGATAGTGCAGTCATAAATTTTAAAGAATATGCTTCCCTTGCTCTCTCCTCTGTTGTCGCTGAGCAGTGCTGCAGAGTGCAAACGCTTAGATTATTCTCCTTCACAGGTTGATGACTTTGTTGATGGGGTTGCTAGTTCTCTGCGTACTGCCTTAGACAACGCAGCTCCTTTGAAAATGAAATAAATGAAATTGAAATAATCCTAGCTTTCTTTTTAATCCAGTTGCCAAACTCACCCAGAGCCATAGCTCTGTTGAACCATCCATTCCACCTGCTCTTAGCAGTAATGAATTTATGGATAAAATCCATCTTATCTATTCTTTATAGATAAGATTGATCTTATTAAAAATAAGATCATTAGCACTCTGTCTACGATTGATTTATCTCTGGAAGGTGAGGCAGCATCTGAGGTAGCCATAAAATCTTAACCGGGGTTAGACTGCTTCGATCCAGTTGAACTTTCTGTTGGGATCTGGAGATCTGTCCACCTTTCTCCAGCAGAGGGCGCCCTAGGTTACCTGGAGCTGAAGCTGACTACCACACCTGCGCCAGAGTGTTAAGCCAGTTACGGTTAGCAAGCCTGAGCCGACCAGCCTGCCTGATTCTCTGACTCCCTGAAAGCCTGACTTGAACCTAACCAGTTTTCTGTCCTCTCTGCCTCCTAGGAAGAATCTGACTGAGACCTGGAGCTCTGGAAGAGCTACTCAACTGAAACCTGCCTGCCTGCTCTCAGAAGCAAACCTGGAGATCAAACTGTCTTGATCTTCCTACCATCCTTCAAGAAGCAACTTGGAGAAGCTCTGAACACTCACAAGCCTGAAGCTAAGTTCTGTCGCTACCAAGCCCTCTGCCTTCGATCAGTCTCTAGACCCTCCTGGTTCCCTCCCTCTGCCGCTTAGCCTAAATCTCTGAACAGGTACAGATCTGCATATTCTCTCAGCTACAAGATCATTAGCTGCCTGGCTAACCTAACTGTCCCTCTCTGCAGAGAGCCTTGGGTGACCAGTCCCGGATCTGATTCCAGTATCTGTCAACCAACCTTGTGCAAATCATCAATAAATTGTTAAACTTTTACTCTGACTCCTTGGTGTTCTGCATGTGGGTTAGAAATCTGAACCCCAACATGACACTTTCAGAGTTAGCAAAACTATTGTCCTCATCTAAGCCTTTAACTTGGATTTTAGATCCAGTTCCAACCAGGTTATTTAAGGAGGTATTCCCTTTGACCCCCTCCTCCATTTTAGATGTGATTAATCTATCTCTGTTACAGGGATATGTACCTAAATACCCAGCTATATCTGTCTATAATCCAGATGAAGCTAACCCATTACTTAGAATACAAGCATGTCTGAAGACATAAAAACCTGGATGACTCTTAACTTTCTGCTCCTGAATGCAGACAAAACAGAAGTTATAGTCTTTGGACCAGAGTCTCTGAAAAAGAAGCTGATTAGTCAGTCACTTCATTTGGATGGGATTAAACTGATTTCAGATAATAAAGTAAAAAATCTTGGTGTTGTTTTTGATCAGGACCTGTCATTTAAATCCCAGATCAAAGAGGTTTCTAGAATTTCCTTCTTTCATCTGAGGAATATTGCTAAAATGGGCAATCTCCTGTCCAGGGGTGATGCTGAGAAACTAGTCCATGCATTTGTTACTTCAAGGCTGGACTATTGTAATTCTTTACTATCAGGTGTTAGGAATCCAGTTTGTGTGGGTTGTGTTTTTGTTTGTTTTCCCTCCACCACCAGGCGGCGCCTGGTTCTGGTTGGCCTCCTCACACACCTGATAAGGGTTGCCTCATTACCGGAGGACTCTTAAGCTGCTGACTGCCACTACCTCAACGCCAGAGTGTTTGCCATTTTTGGGTACTCTAGCCAAGCTGAGTTTTGCTGAGTCAAACTGAGTTTTTGTCTTTGCCTCTCGGCAGGAAGTCATCCTGCAAACTGGATGTTTTTGGACCTTCTCCCCCCTGGAAGGATTCTCTGAGCACCAAACTGAGCTGAGGATTCAAGCTTGTGGTTTGGATCAACTTTTCCCCTCAAGGATTGTTTTGGGCATCTCTCTGAGCAGGGGATTCATCTCCACTATAACCCGTTCAAGTGGCAGTCAGCTTCTCCGTTCACCAAGAATAACCGCAATCTGGGTAAACCTTGTCCGCCCTCCTATGAACAAGTCATTCACTGGAACAACCCACACCAACTGGATTCAATAAGAGACACCTTTTTCTGGAAATGTGAGTCTGCAACCTAACTCCTCTTCTTGAAGTCAAAGACACAAATTTTCCACTAAGCCTGAACTAACCGCAGAATCTTCCCCTTCACTTTCCAGTTCGGGTTCGACAGTGTTCAGAGCAGCACTGGACTCATCTCTTTCACTCTAAATAAAAACCTGTTAAACTTTTCCCTGGTCTCTCTGTTTGGTATTCTGCATGTGGGTCAGAGCTTTAGATAAAATCATGACATCAGGAAGTCCATAATTCACTTAGATTCCATTATATTTTATTGTTCTTTCTACCGTATATACACCTCCTGTGCAGCTGGATACTCTTCATTCCTTTGGTTTAGAATTAACGGACCAGAAAAGGCCAAGCAGTGGGGAATAGATTTCAAGATCTATATAAGCATCCAAATATTAACGGTAAAACCAAACATTTAGTGTGAGAACAAAGCCAAGGAGCTTCCATGGAGGGAAATGAAGGTAAGTCTGACCGTTAGAGGAGCTTTGCTGAACAACCGTTCATTTTCTGTTCCACATCTTATTTCCGTAGTAGGTAGATCTCACATAGAGACACTGACTGTTCTTTCTTTGGACCAAATGACAACCCATTAAACCAGAATCCCCTGGATCCCCACAGCTACAGGTGGAGGGACCCATACTTCTGTATTCAGCCAATAAAATGGCATTTAAAATAGCAGAGCTGAAGAATATAGAATGATGCAGCCTGATAAAATGGATGATTGCTTCTAAGGTCATTTAGTGGGTGGTCGGAAAAAAATTAGATTTCTCTTATTTCACGTAGGTTGACTTATGCTACTTACTCATTGAAAACACTATTTCACCTGCAAGCCCACACGATGCCTGAGTGAGGGTCTTTGTAGACATCGATTTTTCCCATAACAAGCTAGATTCTTTCTCAAGGTTTATTCATAACATGTTACTGTTTAACCAAAGTGTAATTTGCTTTGACTCTGACTACTTTCCATTATTGTCAGTAAGGAGGAACAAACGCTGCCTAGATCAGAGCAGGGCTGATTACCGTGATGAACTGTTCTCTATTTGCAAAGATGTAAAAAAGTGCAGAATGAGTGAAATTTATTAATCTTTGTTTATTTAAAGGAAAATTCTGGTTTTTAAAACTTTTAGCCCATTTTCTGTAGTGTCCAGGATGAAATCGAATGATCGACACCAAAATTTTGACAATTGGTCCTGTCTCTGCTATTTGGCTAATGCAGAATCCCCCCCTGGCGGCTTCAGAATGGCTTCCATAGTGCATGTCCAATAATGTCCTTAAAACAACCTTAAACGTTCTTTTTTTTAAATATGCTACTCACCGGGTCGTCAGCGCTGTTCAATGACGTTCCAAAAAAAGTTTCGTAAAGAAAAACCGTTCCTGTAGTGTTTTATTTAGCATTTTGTAAATCCCATTGAGTTCTGTTGGAATAGTCAATATCCCTCCGCCACCGGAAACGGAAATGGGGCCTGTTTACGCTTAGTTGTAGTCTTTTCGCAAGGCCCAAGTGTTTCTGCTTCACTCTGTGTACTCCGACGTCGAGGTGCTAACGTCTCTGTTAAACACTTTAAAAAACTCTGAAAATGGAATACGAAAGGTGGATTCTTGAGGAGGACATATTGGACTTTGAGTTTGACGGTAGAGGATACCGTCGCCAACTAGTGGTCTGAGGTGTGCAACGCTTCAGATTCGAACGGGAAGCGGAAGTTTATAAGCGGTTGTGATGTATCGGAAAAAATAGTTCTGGGATTTACAAAATGCTAAATAAGACAAGACAGGAACGGTTTTTCTTTTGGTGTCGATCATTCGATTTCATCCTGGACACTACAGAAAATGGGCTAAAAGTGTTAAAAACCGGAATTTTCCTTTAACTGGGGTGAATAGTTGAATACTTTTTCCCCACTACAACTGATAATTGGGTTTGGATAACAGCTGACTGATGGAACTAAACTCCTACGTCAGTCTGGAGGAAAATTAGTTCCTACGTGAGAGAAGGTTAGAGACTGGAGAAAAATAAGGCGTTTTGACCACATCCCTCAGATCAGCTCAGAGATGCCATGAAGTAAAAGCATTGGCGTTAGCATCAAAGAGCTTCTGGCTGCTACGCTTAATTTAATCCAACTGGTATCAGTGTCTCATGTCCCAGCGCTACTCCTGGATTGTTTGTCTTTTAGATAATTACTGGCCTGCTGCCAGGAGGTCTTCCAGGACCGGGTCCATCCGGACGTCTAGACTGAGGTGGCCAGCATCAGGACCCGCTGAGTTCAGCCCAACCATTATGAACAGATGCTCATATTCATGCTATGATGTGGATGAACAAACCGTCATCAGGCCCTTTTGATTTATGATATGTGAGATGCTGCGTATGGGACACCAGCACCGGAGGCCGAGGGACATTACAGGGAGCTAACCCGCCAGTGGACTAGGATCTGCAGTTGGACAATATTTTTCCTCTGAGCAGATCCGCTATGATATCCCTGCCCTTCTGACTCTTAAACTTCATCGCTGGTTCCAGTTTCTGCAAGGAGGAACTCACCTGAACAGCATTTGCTTCAGCTGTCTGGTCACCATGGCAACCATGGGGGGGCGGCCGGTGTTGAGCATGTGCAGCTCCACATTGGACGCCATGATTTGCGTGGCCATCTCTGCATCTGCAGCCACGCCGGCTCCACAGCAGCTGCAGAGCAAGATGAGGAGATGAGATGAGGAGCTGGAGCTCAGCTCTGCAGGGACTACTGATATGATAGCTCCCAAGATTAGGAAGAAGGATGGAAGGAGGGGGGTTAATAGGTGAGCTGGTGAAGATTCTCAGTCATCCAGGACATACCGTAAAAGTTTAAAAAACAATCCACTGGACTTGGTTTCCAAGGTTTGAAGACGTTTCGCTTCCCCTCCAGGAAGCTTTCTCAATTCAATTAAATTCAAATGTCTGCATCCGCAGTGAGTTTGAGTCTTTATAGAGACAAGGCCTTGTATTGCTTGGAAACTTGCAGATGGAAACCGATGACTGGGTCGTTTGGTTCCATTGTCTCCTGTGTCGGTCATTAAGGAGGTATCGTTCACTGGCTGAAGAGGGGAAGTACTTTGTTCCTCTGTGATGGGGGGTGTGGTGATATCTGGAAGGGATCATCTCTATAACTGAATTGTAAGTTTTTGGAAGCTGGAATCTAAGTCCACCACCTCTGTTTAAAGTTGTTTTTTCTCTCTATGACCTGGATGACTGAGAATCTTCATCAGCATATCCAGGACATAGTCATTCCAAAAAAGTCAACAATTGCCCCTAACGCCCCCTTTCAGAAGCATAGCCCAGTATCGGGTATTGAAGGTTAACAAATAACCCAAAACAACTCCCCGTTCCAAAGGGGCGGACGCGTTCTTCTGGTTCAGTTTGCTTGTTTTCTAAGCCAAAACAAGTTGTTGGACTACTATATAAAGCTTTGAACTCAGCACTAATTCTGACATTTTGAATAGATAAAGCTTCCTGGATGGAAAGCAAAACATCTTCAAACTTGGAAACAAAGTTCAGTGTTCCTAACAGAGCACTTCGCTCTCAATCTGCAGGTTTACTAGTGGTTCCTAGAATTTCTAAAAGTAGAATGGGAGGCAGATCTTTTAGTTATCAGGCTCCTCTCCTGTGGAACCAACTACCAGTTTTAGTCCGTGAGGCAGACACCCTGTCTACTTTTAAGGCTAGGCTTAAAACTTTCCTTTTTGATAAAGCTTATAGTTAGAGTGGCTCAGGTTATCCTGAGCTATCTCTATAGTTCTGCTGCTATAGGCTTAGACTGCTGGAGGACATAGGGACCCCTTTTTCATCATTCTGCTTCATTCTATCTCTATTCTCCCACTCTGCAGAATCTGTTAGTTCAATCTCTAACGTTCTGCTCTCTCTGCTTTTTCTCATAGTAGCTTCATCTGGTCTGTTCCTGTTTGGCTGTGACTCCATCCTGGAGAGAAATATCAGCTGTGCTGCTGCCATCAACACCTTTGTTTCTAGATGTTGGAGCTTGGCCTGTTTTCCAGTGTAGTCCTGTTTCTCTGACTGTGACTAACTGGATGTGCTCTCTTCATCCTCTGACATGGGAGCTGGCTCGGAGCTCGTCTGCCTGGCTGTGTGTTTCCTGGACGGGGCCGCCTGTGGAGCTGGTTGACAGTTGCCTTTTGTATCTATGCTTCTTTTTCTATGTCTGCTTCTGTCTCCTTGAACCCCAGTGGGCCTCAGCAGATGGCCGCTCACACTGAGCCTGGTTCTGCTGGAGGTTTCTTCCTGTGCAAAGGGAGTTTTTCCTCTCCACTGTCGCTACAAGCATGCTTAGTGTGAGGGATTGCTGAAGAGTCAATGAGTCGATGCAATCAGCTGGTTTTCCTTAGATAGAAAACTTTGCAATCTGACTGGATGATCTGGTGAACTGGAAAGTGACCTGAAATGACGTGATGGGAATTGGCGCTATAATTTAATATATTTTTTTTACTTTTTTGCAAGGTTTCATAGGTAATAGTTCTGCTCAGACATCGGATCTAACTAGAAGTTCAATTCAGCCTCATTTACTGGAAGAAGAACTGCTTTCAGGTAACTCTGTTGAAATGATGTCTGAACAGAAAAGGTAAGTAATTCATCTATTTTTTAATGAATACTTGAATATAAATGTGTAGAACACGTGTCACTAAAAGGACGCTTGGTCCAAAAGTCATGAGCAGCCGGACTCACTAGATCTTTGGAGCGATGTAATGAATCTTGATGCAGTTTTTATCAGCCACCACCATGTCGTCGGTAGCTCTGGTGTCCGCTCCCAGAACCACTCCATCCTGAGAAGCAGAGAGGACAGACCGCAGCCTCAGCAGATGACCTTCATCAGATCACAGCAGGCCCCTGAATGTGTATTTCACAGGCCTCCAGCAGGAGGGCTCTACCTTATAAACCATTCCAGCGATGGTGGTCCCCGTCTTCCTGGCACTGGGGGCTTTGTAGTTCCCCTCCAACAAACTGGACTCCAGAACTGCATTCCTGGAAGAGATCGCAGCGTTTGGCCCAAGAAGCAGACATTACTTCTGTGGTTTCAGGTGTAAGGCAGGAACTTCCGGGCTTCTGTTGGGAATGAGAAAGCTGGTTTACCTGCGGCTGTTCTCGAAGCAGAAGCCTCCATCCTGCTTCTGACAGGGGTTCAAAGTGTGAAGCATGTTAGGCAGAAGGTCGAGAGCCTGAAACAAAGCTGCTGCTGGCTGTGTGTCCTGCTGTGTCACAGCTTTACAGACGGATTTACTTTTACTTTCACTTGTTTAGCACAAGCCAAGCCTGCTGATCAACGCTGTAAAAAGAGATCCGGACCTGATGAAGGTCTGGTTTCACACAGCTGAAATGAGCCTTCAGCAGAAAGCTGCTGAAGGTTGATAGGAGAAGGAAGACATTGCTGGTTTCTGCTTTGATCCTCACCAACAGAAACAACCCGACATCCAGAGCCAGAAACCCAAGGTTCAAACTTTTTACAGTGGATTCCTCACATGTGACCTGGGAGGAAGAAAACCTGATGCTGACTCAGGGAGGGATGGACTCCAGATTAACTGTAAGAATTTCCTTTTCCTGTTATGATCTTATTTTCTGGACCTTTTGTTTCTGCTTAAGTTTATATTTTTGGGGTTCATAAGTTAAGTCTAGATTCAGATAATTTTTGTATTCTTGGTTTCGCTCTTCCTAGTTTTCTCTTTTCTTCAACATTTTTAGTCTTATTTATTCTTTGGTCTAGTTATAGTTATTCTTTCTCTTATTTTTAGGTGTTTTTTTTCCTTCAGTTATCTCCAGTTCCTTCTCTTATCCTTTAGTTTTCCCCTTGGTAATTCCTTTTTTTGTGGTCATTAGTTTTATTCCCCTTTAGCCTTATTTAAGTTATTTTTAGTTACCTTTAGATCCTGTTGTTTCTTCCCTGTTATTCTGTGCTGCCCCCTAGTGTCCTTTACTTTCCCTTAAGCTCCTTCTAGTTACTCCTGTCTACACCTGCTCCCTATTAGCTAATCATTCCTCTCATTGTTTCTCTCTCCCATATATACACCTCCTGTTCAGTTCCTCATTGCTGGATGCTCGTCATTCTTTTGGTTTATCTCTTCTTAATGTCTATTTTTTGGTTCTTGAGTTTTCTTGTTGATCAGTACTGGACTATGAGTTCTGGATGTTTAATTCTTTACTAAATGTAGCAAATAATCATCTCTGCCTCTACACTAGGGTTGTCACGATACTAAACTTTTCAACTCGATACCGATACTAAGGAAAATATTCGATACTCGATACCATTTTCGATACCACAAGGATAAAAACAGACTCCAAAAGTCTACAGAAATATTTTCATTAATAAATAAAATATAATAAATAAACACAATAAAGGTTGTATGCTGTGCATAATATTAAGCAAGCTTGATAAAAAACTTATAAAATTCAAATTAAGTGTTCCTTCCTTGGCTATGCTTTGCACACATAACAATGACACTAGCCAAACCAGTTAAGAAACAAAAATAATTCTCAGCAGCGGCACCTCTTACAAAAAAAAAAGTCTGAAACTGAAAAGAGCACAGAATTATTCAATCACACAGTGGTCAGAAAGTGCATTGTCCTCTATTCTGCACTTTAGATGAATGACTGCTTAGGTGCCACTGGTGACGGCACTGTATCGATACTTTTAAAAACGAGTATTGTATCCGGATACAACATTTCGATACTTTTGACAACCCTACTCTACACTGCATTTGGGTCCACTACAACCTCCACCAACCCTGACATTTCCTTACTGATATTTTTTAAACTAAATGATCTGAGATTTTTCACTTAAAAACACAGTTGCGTACCAGTCAGTAACAGTTACCACAGGACAAAAACTATAAGCCCATTTCAGGGCTGCAAATGCTCTGATTTAGAGAAAGGAACCAATGAAAACAGATTAAACTGAAAAGCTTCGTAAATGAAGCTTTATCAGAAAGATGGGATCCAATCCTAATGCCATGCCAGAGAGCTAGATGAGGATAGAAAAAGACCTCAAACACTCTGAGAATTCTATAACTCAGAATTCTGAGATTAAATTCAAAACTTTAATCTCAGAATTCTGAGATTAAAATAAGAATACTTTGGAAATAAGTCAGAATTCTGACTTTTTTTCCCATATTAAACTGAAATCATATTTAAAAATCAGTTAACCTTTTTTTATTTCTTCAGCAGCTCTAATCTCTTCTGTTAAGATGCATCAGGTCAGAAGCTGCTGACTCATCGGTTCGGTCGGTGTTCTGAACGCGCCGGACTGCAGGCTCCTCCTCGGTCTTTCGGTGACAGAACTCTCCCATCTCCATGCCCTGGTTGAACAAAACGTACATTTCTCTTACAACATTTGAACAAATCTATGATAACCAAAATTAGGATAAATTATTTGAAATTCCCAATTCCTCCTAATTAGAAAGAATTACAATTGAAAATTATATATAATAATAAATATCCTTCAAATGAGTACGTAAGAGAGAGATTTAAATTCAATGTTTGTAATTGTGATTTCTGTACAACTCAATTGGAAACTACTAATCATTTGTTTTATGAATGTAAAGAAGTAAGAAATCTATGGGATCAACTTCAGATCCTATTAACTTCTAGATCTATAAATGTGGACTTTAATTCCTTACAAATGATTCAGTTTGGTTTATATGTGAATGAAAAAAAAAGTGGAATTCTTAGTCAATGCTTTGATGATTATAACCAAATATTATATCCATAAATGTCGTCATGCAAAATGCTCCCTCTCATTCTCTGCTCTCAAAAATGAACTTTCCTTCTTTAACCGATGTCTGAAAAACATGCAGAAACTTAAAGCAAATAAATTGTCTGATTTAATGGAAGAATTTCAGTTAGTCCCCTCTCCTTAATAATTTAATTATTAGTTGTTGTTTTTTCTTTTTGTCTTTCCTTGTTCTAACCTCAAATTTCTATTAAAGTTAATAAGATCATAATATTTTTTTCTTGGAATGATCATTATTGATGTAATGTTTGAGATTGTCATTGAAATTCTTTGTTTTCATTAAAAAAAAAACGAACAAAATAAAAAACTCTCCTATCTCCATTGCTCTGCCCCACCCTCCACCCCACGTGTCACCGTTACTCTAACCTGATTGGTCGAGCGGGGAGCGAACTAACCTGATTGGTCGAGCGGGGAGCGAAGCATTGTTTGAATCTGTGTTTTTTCATCCGGACCAAACGGCAGCAGCTCCAAGGCTGAAGCTTCTCCTCTCCTGCTTTCTGGTAAGAAAAGGTTTTAATCGGATGTTTAGCTTCAGTTTCTCTGTGTTTAACTTGGAAAGCAGCTAAAAGGAGCTAACGGTGATTAGCAATGCCTTCATGAATTCACTGCTCAGTTCGGCACATTTAACATGGAAGAGGCTGGTCCTCCTGTGGGCTCTGGTTCTAGTTCTGGAAATAAATGTATTTCAAACATTTTACAAAGATATAAACAGTTTGGTGTTCCACATGGTGCCTCACAATGATTTAGCATCAACAGAGAAATAAAACCAAGGTTATCCAATCTGTCCTCTGCTTGTTATTGCTGCTGCAGAAATGCTTCCCATTTCAATTAAAAAGCTGAAGACGCAATCATCTCATTAATTAAACTGAATTAAATCCTTAAATTGATTGAAACGTTCTCAAAGGCTCCAGGACTTTAATTCAATGTAAACAAACGTGAAATTCAGCCTCTAAAAGATTGTCCCATATCTACTGCTGTAATGTTCCTATAAAATACAGTGTTAAATATCTGACTGCATATAAATAAAATAAGTCTGAATATTTGGAAGAAAAAAAAAATGTAAGTCATTTAAATAAATGGCCACACAGAGATTTATCTATTCTGGGAGGAAAAATGGAAAGTATTTCCAGACTTCTCTATCCTGCAGATACATCCGATCCAGCCATCAAATCTATCAACAAAACGAATTCTGACTTTAAAAAAAGGTCAAATCAAAAAAGGTCATTTGATTAAACCGTTGGTAGATGGAGGACGACAAACTATTGAATTTGACAGCATGAAAGGCACTTTGAAAATAAAAACATTAACAACTCAAAATGAATCATGGCTCCATATTCCAGTGATGCTGAGATGAAGCCTCATTGAACCGTTTGGCCAAATTGCTTCAACGATCCCCACAGTTCATGAGGCTCTATGTGAACATGTCACCACCTACTGGTGGAGTGCAGAACTACAGTATGCAACAGTTTTTCTTTTTTCCCCCTTTTAAGTTCCCTTGAAATTATTAATGGTTGGTGTGTATAATAAAATCTTTTGTAAGTTTTTTTAAGTGTAAAATTTCTTAGAACAATAATATAAGGTTCATAGTTTTTCTGCCATTTTAGTGAAATAAACTCAAGCAGACAGTGAAAGTATTTGTGCAAATTGGGCAATGATGAGCAAAATGAAAGGTGTTAGTCATTTTTATTCAAACATGATAGTTTTTCCATGTTTTTTGGTTTTAATCAGGTCGGAAGTTGTGTTCAACCAATCTTTTGGCTGCACCAACCTAATTTACCCAATCTATATTTGTACTCGGGCAAAAAAATGCAAATTAGTCTCATCCGCCAAAATAATTAAGTTTAATCGAAATTTTCAAAAGTCAAAGACAGATTTTGAACCATCAACCTCTAGAGCGGGAGCCTGACTCTTACAGCTGACGCCACCTATGAAGATAAACTGGCTAAGGAGAAAATACTTCTAAACACTGACGTGTTAACACTGGCTTTGTCCGGTGGTTTGCTCAAATTTTGATCATTACATTGTTTATTCTAACCAAATTAGCAACTAGATTGGTTGTTTTTCCAACCAATCTATTATTAGAGTCTATCCAAACTTTATCCAGCTGAGAGCAGCTCTCCTCCAAACCAGACATGGGCAATGTGGAGTCAACAAGTCATCTCCATGTCATGTATTTAATCTACCCAGCCAATTAACCAGGTGAGTCCAATCTGCACAGGTTAATTCACGGTGAAGATTGGACTCACCTGCTTCAGTGGCTGGGTAGAACAAATACATGACATGGAGATGACTTGTTGACTCCACATTGCCCATGTCTGCCCCAAACTCCCACATCTTGACTGAACACTGAGGCTGTTTAGATGCCTTTCAAAATTCTTGCGCATTCTGAACCACTTCCATAAGCGGTCACGTCGTATCACGGTAGCGAGGCCTCGGACGTCATCAGTTTTGGCCCCTCCCCTAAATGAATCACGCCTCGACACGCGCTCCGGGGAAACGCCCCCTCCATTACTCGACACACGCCTCGAAGCCTCGGCTCTTCTCATAACATCACTAGCATATTCCAAGTAAAATATTTTCTTCTTCTTTTTTTGCAGTCCAGTGTCCTGTCTGGCCATGTGGCAATAAGAATTATTGTCTTGATCCCAAAAAGAACCCAACAGATTTTACTATCAATAGTGGAGCAGTACGGCTATCGCCATAGTGTTACGCTTGATTTCTGCATATAAATAGATTTATTATCATTATGCAGGGAGTTTTACAGATTATACGGACACTGCAATGTGAGGAAAACAGGAAAGGAAAGACAGAAAAAAAGGAGAAGAGATGAAAGAAAGAGGAGATAAAAGGGAGATAATGATAACAAATTTTCACCTGCAAAGAGATGTAAAAGAACAGAACAACCAACAGACATGGTACGAGACATACAATAAAGTAAGACCTAGATGGCTGAAGTAGTATATTTTCCAACCTGGGCTTAGTTTTCTTCTTAGATTTGACATAACTACAGCCCACACAATACTCCCTTATGGAATTACCGTTACATCAAAATGAATAGTAAATCAATCTTTGCACGTTATTGGCTAGAAGAAGGTGTTTGGTCTGTGATGCATTTATTAAATAACGGAGGGATTATGTCTTATGAAGACTTTAGTATTAAATATAACCTGGAGATAATTAAAAGTGAATAAAAAAATTATTAGAGCTATTCCCCCAAATATTTGATGCACAGCTAAATGTTTTTCTTAGAACCGTGTTTACAGAAGCCCTCTGATTAATGGCCACAGTATCACAGATAATCAACTAAAAACTTCCAAAATTAGGGAACGATTTACTAATACTTTGTTTCCTTTCGGATCAAATCCACATTTTATATTGCATTTCTTTTCAAAGACTGAAAAGGTACAAATTAGAACAAATTATTTATCTTCCCATTCTTTCAAAACCCAAGAAAGTCCACTTTAAAATCTTTTATAGGCGTTTAGACTCTAAGGAATTACTTAGACTTTGATAGGTTTAATGTCGCGCTGGTTTAATGTCCCTCTGGTTTAATGTCCCGCTGGTTTAATGTCCCTCTGGTTTAATGTCCCGCTGGTTTAAAGTCGCGCTGGTTTAAAGTCGCGCTGGCTTAATGTCGCGCTGGTTTAATGTCGCGCTGGTTTAATGTCCCGCTGGTTTAATGTCCTAATAATGTCCCGGTAGTTTAATGATCCGTTAGTTTAAACCTGCATTAAAATCATATTTCTATTTCTAAACTGTTTCTTCTATTAATGCCAGAGGATCAGTTCAATAACTCAGACATTGATTTCTAAATTATCCTTAAGGCCTCCATTAACTAACTTTTTATTATTAATTGGCTATTGAATGTTATCATTTAGCACTAGTATCGATATGTCTATAAACACCGTCACTCAGGCATTGTGTGGCCTGATACAATAATAATAGTATCGATACAGCCATCTAAAGTGCAGAATAGTGGAAAATGCACTTTCTGAACTCTGTGTGATTGAATAATTCTGTGCATTTTTCAGTTTCAGACTTTTTTTTTAACAGGTGCAGCTGCTAAGAATTATTTTTGTTTCATTGGTTTGGCTAGTGTCATTGTTATGTCAGCAAAGCATAGCCAAGGAAGGAACACTTTTTAATTTTGTAAAACTTCCAAAATTAGGGAACGATTTACTAATACTTTGTTTCCTTTCGGATCAAATCCACATTTTATATTGCATTTCTTTTCAAAGACTGAAAAGGTACAAATTAGAACAAATTATTTATCTTCCCATTCTTTCAAAACCCAAGAAAGTCCACTTTAAAATCTTTTATAGGCGTTTAGACTCTAAGGAATTACTTAGACTTTGATAGGTTTAATGTCCCGCTGGTTTAATGTCCCGCTGGTTTAATGTCCCGCTGGTTTAATGTCCCGCTGGTTTAATGTCCCGCTGGTTTAATGTCCAGCTGGTTTAATGTCCCGCTGGTTTAATGTCCCGCTGGTTTAATGTCCCGCTGGTTTAATGTCCAGCTGGTTTAATGTCCCGCTGGTTTAATGTCCAGCTGGTTTAATGTCCCGCTGGTTTAATGTCCCGCTGGTTTAATGTCCCGCTGGTTTAATGTCCAGCTGGTTTAATGTCCCGCTGGTTTAATGTCGCGCTGGTTTAATGTCCCGCTGGTTTAATGTCGCGCTGGTTTAATGTCCCGCTGGTTTAATGTCACGCTGGTTTAATGTCGCGCTGGTTTAATGTCGCGCTGGTTTAATGTCGCGCTGGTTTAATGTCGCGCTGGTTTAATGTCGCGCTGCTTTAATGTCGCGCTGGTTTAATGTCCCGCTGCTTTAATGTCGCGCTGGTTTAATGTCCCGCTGCTTTAATGTCGCGCTGGTTTAATGTCGCGCTGGTTTAACGTCCCGCTGGTTTAACGTCCCGCTGGTTTAACGTCCCGCTGGTTTAACGTCCAGCTGGTTTAACGTCCAGCTGGTTTAAAGTCCAGCTGGTTTAACGTCCCGCTGGTTTAACGTCCCTCTGGTTTAACGTCCCTCTGGTTTAACGTCCCTCTGGTTTAACGTCCCTCTGGTTTAATGTCCCTCTGGTTTAATGTCCCGCTGGTTTAATGTCCAGCTGGTTTAATGTCCAGCTGGTTTAATGTCCAGCTGGTTTAATGTCCAGCTGGTTTAATGTCCCGCTGGTTTAAAGTCCCGCTGGTTTAATGTCGCGCTGGTTTAATGTCGCGCTGGTTTAATGTCGCGCTGGTTTAATGTCGCGCTGGTTTAATGTCGCGCTGGTTTAATGTCGCGCTGGTTTAATGTCGCGCTGGTTTAATGTCGCGCTGGTTTAATGTCCCTCTGGTTTAATGTCCCGCTGGTTTAATGTCCCGCTGGTTTAATGTCCCGCTGGTTTAATGTCCCGCTGGTTTAATGTCCCGCTGGTTTAATGTCCCGCTGGTTTAATGTCGCGCTGGTTTAATGTCGCGCTGGTTTAATGTCGCGCTGGTTTAATGTCGCGCTGGTTTA